TGCAACTCCTCGCTGGGCTTCCCTGGGATCAAGGCGTTCACACAGCTGAGATCTCACTGATGTTAATATCCAACCCATGTTTGGGCTTGCATTTTCGTGTCTTTGTTACTGCTATATTGGTAATCACAATGGTGGCAGTGCCTGATGCTTACTACATACGTAATAATATTATTGAAAAAACATCTTTTGAGCAGAGAGCAAGACTGTCTCAAAGTGAGTGATGGCTACTTTGACTGCAGAAGTTGTTCTGATATTTCTAGTCATGGTTTGCTCCTTTGGCTGATTTACTCATTTATTCAGAGATTCACTCAAACAGTTCCAGATTCTCTGATTTTTAAGTGGGGAGGCTTGGTAATAACTCTTTTGCACAGAAGATTTCTCAGTGTAGTGTGTGTGTGGGCATGATGAGAAGTTAGGTGTTTTAAATGTGATGTAGGTAAGTGGGTCATTATTACTTGAGTCCAAGCAGCCTGTCCATAGAGCATTAATGGGGATGGTGAGTTGTCTTTGTGATCATGGGGTAGATGGTCCCGTGTCTGGGACCAGAGGCGGAGGCAGGGTTAGGAGAAGGCAGCTCCTCAGGGGAGCTACTAGTTTTCCAGGGCTGCTTTAAAAGATCATTGCGTGGAAGTGGAGATGTAACTGAAGTGGTAAAGCACCATCCTTGAGCCAAAAAGTCCAGCAAGAGTGCAAAGTTCTGCGTTCAAACCCCAATATTAGCACAAAAACCAACCAAATAGAAACATAAGCTATGTATTGTCTCAGAACTCAGTTAATAGCAAGAGAATGCTTTCCAAAGTCCACATAAGCACGGGCCATCAGTAATGGCTCTCACTTGAGATGTGTGTGACTGGGTTTGCCCTGAGATGGAATTACTTCATGGGGTTAGAGTGAGAAAGGCATGCTGGGATGGGACCTGAGATTCTGTGCTTCCATTCGTGTGGGTCTAGTCTATTCTATTTGGGGCTTTGACTTTTTAACAGGTTGTAAAATTACAGTAAGTGAGGCTGTCATATCCACGTGACACTAGGTTTAGAGGGTGTTGCATTACCGAAGACAGATGCCAGGAATGCACTGTACAAGGAGCAAATCCTGTGAAACTCCCACCAGTTCATCACTGGGGATTTTCATAATTGTTACATTGGCACAGCCATGGCTCTTGGAGGTGACAATGTCCTGCTAATCACCGCTCATTTAAACCTGCTAAGACATTGTCTCCACCTGGACCCTAAGGGGTCAAGAAGACCAGGCGCTGGGCCTGGAGTTTTCCTGAACATTCTAGAAGGCCTGGGGAGACCCAGGCATATCTGCTTCTTCCTACAGGATCCCATGTATCCCTGCCTGGCCAAGAGCTGGCTGAGGAGCAGAGAACCATCTTCCCTTGTGCAGGGCAATCTTCTTCACCTCTCTTGTGGGTGGGATAGAGAGAGAAAGAACCAGAAAAGGAAAATGACGCAGAACCATGCACACCCAAGGAAAAGGACAACGCTCCGGAGGAACACTCTAGGCCAGGAATTTGATCTAATCTTATCCTTGGAGTTTTGAAGACCTAGAAAGAGGACAAGGTGAACTGACTTTCTTTCCCCCTCTTCTGTTCTGGCTGATATTTCCTTCCCACTGGATTTCACCAACCAGATCCATCGCCTGAATTTTATTGCCACCAGGGAAGACATAAACATGTTAACATGAATCGGGCCCCATCTGTGAGGGGAAGTTTTGCCTGGCTCCTATCTCTAGTTGGTAAACCCACCACCACCACCACAACTTTATCTTCCAGAGTGTTTTGACATGCCTCTGATTCAGGGGGAGGCCGACCCTCAGCGGCGACCGAGTCTTGCCAAAGGCTGCTCAGCAGATGGCGGATGAGCCCATACCAACCTGCCGCCACGGGGGCCATCTGCTCTGCTTCCAGCAACCCCATCTTCCTGCGTCTTGGTCAACCGGCAGCTCTTTTAATTTGTATGTCTGAGATTTTGACCTTCCAATTTAATTTGGGGTGTTCTTCAGTTGGACGGGTATGGACATATTTTACCGGCATGTTTTCAGTTCACAGGGCATGGATTCTTCAGAGTAAGCAGTAATGTGCCTACTGGCTGACTTCCCTGAGGCTCTTGGCTGATTCCTGGCTGTGGATTTTCAGCCCCCTCTCCTGGTCCCTGAGGTTGAATGCAGCGCCTGTGTGAGGGCATGTTTTGAGATCCCTGTGTACTGTCCCTGAAGGTGGCTGGGACACAATGGAAAGGCAGTGTGAAAAGTGAAATTAGCTGGTTTGCCTTCCTCCTGGAAATCTTCCTCCTGGAAGACCACAAAAGCAAAAAGAGAGAGATCTGCCAGAAGGACTCCGGTTTGTCCGCTTTTTCCAGAAATAGATGTCATTGTAGTTTGAGGTAAAGGCATCAAACCCTGGTACTTGCTCTGCGGGAGTCCTTGGATTGGGCCAGGGTGGTGGAGGAGGTACATGGCAAACACCAGCCTTCCACAGGGCGGGGCAGGCCTCAGCAGGGGTGGTACACCCAGATTGTACAGCAGGCATGCTGCAAGAAATAGATGCTAACATATTCAGAATATATGATTCAATTAGAGAACTATAATTCATACAGACCAATGGGAAAAGACAATTTATGTGTTCTATGTGATCATATATATATTTGTGTATGTATATATATACACACAAATGCATACATATAAATCATATTTATATATGTGTGTACACATACACATATATTCATATATACACACATGTCTCTATATACATATGTATAGGCATCTATACACATGTATGTATGCACACATATATGATTATACATACTTAAATACCTATATATATTTATTGGAGAGTTGTACACCAAAAATCTGACTGTTCACTCTTGGGAATGAAAGAGTGCATAATTCAGTGGGAAAAGAATTTCCAAGTTTCCAGTGTTGTTTGTCTTCAGCACCTGAGCCATACTTCAACCCTTAATTGCTTTAGTTACTTTCCATGTTATAGGGTCTCAAGTTTTTGCCTGTGGGCAGTCTGGGACATGGTCGTCTTAGCGATTATCTCCATAGGTAAGGAATGGTACATATCTTGTTGGTTGTTGGTTAAGATGAGGTCTTGCTAACTTTTCAACGAGACTGGACTTGAACTGCAGTCTTCTAGATCCCCACTTCTTGAGTAGCTGGGATTGCAAGCGTGAGCAACCCTGTCTGGCAGAAAATGTGGTCAAATGTGACTTTATGTTGTGACTTAAAAAGATGACATAGTTCCCATAGGCTCAGAGATCTGGAGATGGATATTTCAGGCTAAGAGTGAGAAGGAAAAAAATGACCGTGAGCAAGTGTCAGAATGATCAAATGGAACAGTTTGTTAGTGTTGGGTTTTACATAGTGCCGTGGGAACAGTGGCTTAATGTCACTCACAGTCTTCTCAGTTATGGGTTTCAGTTTGGTTAAGGGAATGACACGTTCTAATAGATTTTTAAGTGAACTGGGCAGATGTATCTGTGGAGGCTGAAGGACCTGCTGGGTACCTCTTTTGGAATTGATTTTATATAGCTTCTCCAGTGCTGATAAGATGGATGCTACCTTGAGGTTATTCCAGTGAATCACTCCCCATAAGACTCAGTGGCATTTGCCAGGCTGATGGGACTGGTGATCACTCCAGATTTTTAGGAGAGCAGGCACAGGCTCTGCCGCTAGCCTACTTGCTTTTGCCAAAGTCCACATATCCTGATGGCATGGATATTGGTTGTCTCCACATAAAAACTGTCATTCACCTCCTGTCTGCTTGCGTTGAGCACATTCTGCAATATAGACAAGTAAGCAGACAGAGTCACGTACTCTGATTTAATTTTGCATATCAGGTAATGGTGTATGTATTGTGTGTGACGGGGCAGGTGTGCACGCCTATCTGTGGTTTGGGATTTGGGTCCTGAGATGATAAGAAATGTGTTTTTTAGAAATAAATACAAATGCAACTTTATTGAAATTCAGAAACGAAATACAAATGTTTAGTCTGTGTGCAAGTTGTAAAAAGTAGAGCTATGAAATTTCCAAGTTTTCCCATGTAATGGTTAAGATCTGTAACTTTGAAGTTAAGAGGATTTTGGTTTGAATTCACTAAGCCTTAATGTTTTTAAATGTTTTTTTTAAAGAAATAATAATAGTATTATTGGCAGTATTGCTGCAATGAATGGATAAGGCATTACATAGGCTGTATCATTTATGTATACTGCTTTGGGAGAATGAACCTTGAGTGGACTTGTTACTATTGTTGTATCTCTTCTAATGAATTCTGCAGAGCATTTTCTCTTAGGGTTTGGGAGTACACTCATAGTTGATGCTTTCCAATGGAAGCCCGGAAGTCAATGTTTTCAGGAATGAGACTTGAGTTTAAGAATAATGAAAATCAAGGGAAAGATGATACTTGCAGATGCTTCTGAGTTGGACTGTGTTACGCACAGGTGCTAATGGCATGTTCTGTGCCTGGTCTGCTGTTGTGCCTGGAGTTGGGAGTCCCTGGGGGTTGGCACTGTTTGGTTGGCATCGATTCATGAATGAGACCTTTTCCTTTCAGGTGATTCAGTCCTGGGTTGAGAAAACAGAACAAAGGCATGGCGTTGCGTGTTCTCTGAGAATAACCAGTTCAAGGTTATCTGCGGAAATATACATCTAGGCTAAGGAAAACTTTTAGTAGTTTACTTTAAATAGTACGGAGGTATCAGAGATTCTGTAGCCCAGAATAGCTAGGCAAAAGAAACACATGCTGGCCACTGGTGGCTCATGCCTGGAATCCTGGATACTCAGGAGGCTGAGATTTGAGGATCATGGTTCGAAGCCAGCCCAGGCAGGAAAGTCCATGAGACTCCACATGATGCTAGTGATGCTTTTTACTGTTGCTGGGCACAGGGATCGGGGATAAAGCTTTTAGTGTGCTGGGCACTGGGGTGAGCACGCTATCCACCGACGGCAGCTGAGGACCACACACTCATGGCTTTCCCTCTCCTCTCTCCACACAGAATGTCCCCCCAGACCTGTCCATCTGCACCTTTGTCCTGGACCAGTCCCTGTCCGTGCGTGCCCTGCAAGAGATGCTGGCCAACACCATGGAGAAATCGGAAGGGGCAAGTACCAGTTTTTGTAGACTTGCGGTGCAGGCTTGCATGGACGCAGGGAACCTTGTATTTATTTGTTACAGGACGTCTGCCTGTGATTCCCTTAGGTTTCATCTTCTGCTTCAGCCGGCAGACTTAAAAAAAAAATCCATCGTCAGCGTGGTGTGTGTCAGTGCGTCTCATCTTGTGCTGCTGTCTGTGCCGTAGGGCAGGGGCTTTCCATGGGCATATCTGTGTCTCTGTGCGCTCACAGCGGGACCGGCGGCTCCGATGAGCTGCGCTATGCCAGCTGTGTGCCAGTGACCTGCATTTAATTTTCAGATGCTGCTCACCATGCAACTGTGTTCTGAGGTGCTTTATAGCAAGTCGTATTTCATGACACTCTCGTGTATTCGAAGCAACAAAATGATGGTGACACATGCAGCTTTAGTTACTTACAATATGGTACCAAAAAAAAAAAAAGGTGCGAATCATTTTCTTCTGAGGTGAGGTGGAAATCTTTTCCTGGGATGAAGTGTGTTATCAAAGGAAGCACTGATTTCACATGCAATGAAATTCTTCCTTTCTTTACAAATGAACCCTGTGCATCAACTGATTTCCTACTCTTGAATTTCTTGGTGTTTATCTAGTAAACCTTCATGAATTCCTTTTGTGATTCAGTCAGTTGAATGCTTTTGCTTCTGTGCTATCTATACTTGTATTTGATGACCACAGCCAGCTTTCTACTTAGAGCCAATATGCTTGGTGTGGTTAAGGGCCATTTGTTCATCTTCTTGGATTTGTGAATAAATAAATGCATGATCTTCATCAAGGTGAAAGAACTTAGCAAGAAGTTCTTAACATCACTTGTGACAAAGCAAAACCATGAGTTATTGATAACCAAAAAGGATACTCAAAGTGGAACAGGAAAATTATTACCTGAGTTATGAACTCTAGTTTCCCAAAGAGTTACTGATTGTAACTCTTAGAAAAAATAACTCCCATTTTCATGGTGCCAAAATGATTTTGAAATAATTCCTCTAAAGGAATTTTCTGTTTAATAGAAAAGATGTATGATAAGGTAGAGATCTAGATCTAATATACCTATATCAGATATATATGTATGTGCATGTATCTGTATATAGTTTACATGTGCAACACACACACACACACACATATATACACACGTGCATACACACACACACACACACACACACACACACTACTGAAGGCCATTTAGCTCTTGGGCTTACTGAGGTTTGAACTCAGAGCTTTGTACTTGCTAGGCAGACATTCCACCACTTTACCCATGCTCCCAGCCATTTTTTTGCTTTAATTATTTTTTAAGATAGGATCTCATCTTTTTGCTTGGGCCAGCAATGGACCATAATCTTCTCTTCTATGCTCATGTAGCCAAGGGTACACATGTATTCCCCTAGGTTCATCTTGTTTTGCCAAGATGAGAGTTTTCTTTATTTTCTTTCTTTCTTGCCTAGCTGGAAGTGATCTGCGATCCTCCCAATCTCCATCTTCAAAGTAGCTGATACAGGTTTCACCCTCCATGCCCAGTCCCATTTTACCTTCTTTTCTACAGTCAGTGGCCGAGTCTTGTTTGTTTTAGTGTCTGCCCATGGGGCCTTGAGGATCTTGAGGATGCAAACACTACGAGGGGGTTACGGTGAAGAAACTGCCATTATTTCTATTCTCTTTGGGGTTTGTGAGGTCCCCCATGGCCTGTGAAGCCACCCCCATGTGTCTCTTTTTGCTTAGGTCTCTTGGGCATAGGGTACGCTGTCATTTTGCAGAATGACTGTATTTATTTCCCCAAGGTTTTGGATACATTCAGAGAACATTTAAATCACATGAAAGGGAAAAAGATGAAATAATTTAGAAAGCAGCAGATCTTAGTCTTGTCGCCTCATTTAAATTTTCAGAGAAAAAAATCTTCTGGATAAAAATTGTCAACATTTTGGGGAGCTTTTGTCATACTCGAGTTAGGGTAGAATTACTGACTACATCATCTTTGTGTCTTGCCTGATCTGAAAGATGGGAGAATTCTGCCTGATTGGTACAAGCAGAATAAAGCCAGACCGTGGGCTAAAGAATATGTCTGCGGATAACTGGACTCATTTTTTATGATTTTATTTGCTTTATGAATTACCTTTATGGCAAGTTTTGTTCTCAACCTCATCACAGAAAGGCCTTTGCAGCATCCTGCAGTTTGGAATACAAACGCCATTCAGTGTTCAGGGAAGTGTGTTGATTAATCACAACTTCCTTACATGACTGCTATGTCTATGTGTTATAATTACTACTTTGCATTTTCCAGTTTTAATTATTCCTGGGAGCACTTAGAAAATTCGTCAGAGGTTTGAGGTTCAGTGAATCTTAATTCTGTCACTTGAAAACATGCATAGGATGGTAAAGAAAGAAAGTGTATAAAATTCCCTGCTAGCTATTGGGACTGACTGAGAATTCAAGGAGAAAAGTGAGGTTTGAAGATAAATAGCATGAATACAGCAGGTTCTCTATACATAGCAGTCCTTTTCCTTTCTACTTTGAATTAATAAAAAGTGTCTGATGTGGATGTCATTTAATTCTTCGTCAATTGGCATTGGACTACTTATTTCACTAGTCATGAGACACCAAGAGTTCTACTTAGTCACACATGTGACTTTCGTCTGGTGAAGGAAACTTCTATCTCCCCCCATAAAAAAAGTTGCTTTAAGGAATCCAATGCATACCAGGGAAATAGATGGAGAAATATACCACAAAATATTAACAAATTAAAACCATCAATATCTCCAATGAATAGCATATTACAGCCGAGGTAGGATCCAAAAACCGTTTAATGTATTCACAAATCTAATTATTGTGTCTTACTACCATCAGAATGGGAAACGGGAAAAAGTAAATAGCTATCATATGGACATTTAAACACAATCACACATCTGTTCATTGTAGTAAGTTAGAGATGGAAGGTCCCTCCATGAAATAGAAGCTTCCTCCAGACCTTCTCCATCACGTAGTCTCTCTGTGCATGTGTTCTTTGCTTTTAGCACTTTTAGAATTAAAATGTGAGCTGGAAAAGCCACTGTTCACTGTAAATTATTCAGTTAGATTTTTTTTATCTACTAGCAAGAAGCAGTTGCAGAATAAAACTTATAACTGGGTCCTCTGACATTAGTCTGATAAAACATGATAGACCTAGGAAGAATGCTAATGAAAGATGAGCAAACCCCTTTCACAGAAAACTACAGCACATAGAGGAAGAAACCAAAATGATGCCCAAACAGAAAGAATCCCCTTTTTATTCCCAGAGGCTCTTCAGTACAGAGGACTCTGTTTTCAAATCACTCTGCAGATCAGTTGGAAATCAGTGCATTTCAGTTGAGATCCAAGTGGGCTTTCTTTCTGTGACCTTGAAAACTGAGAAAGCTGGTTCTCACCGTTACAGGAAATGAAGCCTACCACAAGCAAACTCAGCCTTGAGGAAAAGAGCAAAGCGAACGTCTTCGACTGCTGGATGTCAATGTTTGTTTTAATGTTACAATAACCAAGACAGGTTGGCTTTAGCCACGTAGATGGGAAAATAGCTTGAGATCCAGTAGAGTTCCTTGTTAGATCCACTTGGCAAATTTGTAACTGGCAGTTTAGTTGGGAAAAGGGGTTATCTTCTTAGAATTGGTGCTGGGTCCGATGTCAGGTCTTCCTACACTAAAAATTCATACCGTGTGTGTTGGAGTGTTCTCAGATAACAGGAAAGAATAATGAATTTCCTAAAAAAATATATAGGAATATTGTTTCCTGGCCAACCTCCCCACCCCCTGCCAATACTCCAATCAAGAAAACTGAGAATTCTAGAGCTGCCATTATGATTACCAGTAGGAGAGTTGAAGAGGCAAACCCATGCTGAGAGTTGACTTTGGGTGTGTGTATGCAACCCAGTACCTCATACCTGAAAAGCACAAAGCACTCCCACACAAGACTGGAACAAATGCTTTCTAAGGCTGGATATTTGGGTGTCCAAAAGCACATGAGAAGGAGTTTCTTCCTGGCAGGCCTGAGAGGAGTGTGGATTCAAACAGTGCTCAACACTCCTCCACACCCACCAGCACAGCGGAAATCAACACCGCCCGTGACACCAGATCCCGGGAAAGATGGAAAGCCAGTGAAACACATTCACTGCTGACAAGAGCCTACGTTTAGGGACCCCTTTGAGAAACCATTTGGCAGAATCTATGGTAGCCAAGTATTCATGAATCTGTGACCTCATAATTTCGCTCCTGGAATTACATACCCAATAGAAGACGTATTCATCAAAAAGGCAGACAAGATGGTTGACTGCCGAATTCTTTATCCTAGCCCCCACATCAGTGGCAGCCCCAACACTTACCAACCAATGAACAAATCTGCTGCCTGTGCTATCTTCATAAAATGGGATCTCGGAAGCGTCAGGAATGAATTTCCTTTCATTGTGCAATGCAGTATGATGAATCTTACAAACTTACAGCCCGCTAAGGAAGCCAAACACAGAAGATAAAATGTTCTTCTTTACAAAAAAAATCAATAAACCAAATCAAACCAGCAGGCATAAAATAATAACTATCTTTTGGGAAGATGCAAGGACAGCAGCTTCTAGATCTGGGTCTGGTTCTGCTCTTTATTTAGTATCTGTTACATTCAGGAAACAACAACAACTGTAGTCCTTCCAAATAATAATTTCACCTAAAAATTCCACACGATTTCATGATATTTTGGAACAGAGTACAGAATCTGCAAGACCTGCAGCCCCTTCCCCACCCCGCCATCTTAATACCAAACAACATGTGTGGTCAGGATGACTCACGGGATAGTATTTCATTTTGGACTTTTCTCTGTTGTATTACTGTGAAATTTAATGACAGGGTAATAATGGGTCACAGTCGTGCTTTAAGTCTTCCCATTGCTATTCTTATACTACAACTGAAAAACTTTGAACTCACGACACATGTCTTAGAGTTGTCACATACTTATCTCAGAATACATCTACAAAAACATACTACTCAGTGTCCAAAAGCACACTACACACTAAATAATATTTGATTATGTAAGAATCTCTAGGTGAATTGTATCATTTACTCAAGTTCTTTTGTTATCAACATCTTCTAGGTGCTAGCATAGGATAGCACCTGTCATAAAGGGAATAAGGGAATCCCAAATTAAAGATTAAACAGTTAAAGAGAAAGGCGTGACATACCTTGGATTGATTGACCATTGGGTCAGAATCCCGAGTTCAAATTCCCACTCCACCATGGACTCATGGTGTGCCTTGGTTGTTGTGAACTTTGTGTCACTGTTTCCTTGCTGACGACCGACAGTAAGATGACACATAAAGTGTGCATGTAAACCCTCAAAGCCTGCCACTAAGTACAGTTGTCTTATCTGAAATTTTACCTAAAATGTTTTGATTTCCCATGATCATCAATCACCGTCTGAAAAAAATGTACATGAAAAAATCCCAGGAAGAAATAATTCATAAATCTTCAAGTGCAGTCTATGGTGAATAACATGATGAAGTCTCATACCATCCTACTTCATCCTGCCCAGGACTTGATGCTGGTATATCCATGCTATATATACTACCCCGCCTTTAGTCACTTGATAGCTATCAGATTAACTGTCCCAGTGTGTCGGTACCAGTAAACCTTGTTTTACTCAATAATGGCCATTGAATGCCACACTGAGATGCCGAGGTGACCCCAGGACATAAGCATGGAAGGACAGATCATCTCTGTCACTAAGTGGACATGTAGGAAAAATAAGACATACAAGAGAAATAATGTAGATCACTATCCATGGGTGTAGGCATCCGATGGGGGGGTGGGCTAGCCGGGACCATGGCAGCTACTTGACCTCTACCTGTCATTGTAATAGAATTCTGCATCTCAGACAGGCAAATGACAAAGCTGAACAATTAGAAACAAGCACTAACAATTTTTTAAATGGTTTGTTTCTGTATGCCCCAAATATGTAATTAAAATGTGAATGGAAAATAAGGATGTTATATAAATTACCTGCCTTTCATACAATGGAATCACTTAGAATTACTTTTTAAAATTGATCTGTTAACCCTGACAAATCAAGTGGGCATTAAAATGATTATTGCCCTTAAGAGCAGCTTTTGCTTTGATTTGTAAAAAAAGATCATCCTTCTTGGGAGTGTTAATATGATACAACATTTGATGTAGTTTCCTACAAATATGGAAACGTGTATCTCTTCTCACATAGTAGAATCAATACATTTCTTTACTATAGTTGGATAATAAAGTTATTTGAAAAAAAGTGTTCATGTGTCTTATTTATTTTGTGGATTGGGTGATGGTTTAGGTTCTGAAATGAGTCAAATTTTTTGTGAATTTTATGTTGTCCTCCTTCATTTCCTCCATTGAGATCATTCTGCCCTACACTGTTTGCAGAGATTTAGTTAAATGGCTATTGTTAATGTTAATAAGAGACGTGTCATGAAATCGCTCTGCATCACAGATTGGTTGCAGCTTCATTGTACTTTGGGCTGTGGACCGTTTGTCTTGTCCTGCGTGTAGCTAACCACTCACCCATATATTTGTTATCATTAATAAGCCTTCCTGGAAATGGAGCAGAGTCTGCTCTGTTATTACTACTAATGCTCTCCAGAATTATAATTCTCTCCAGACTAAAGACCTGTTTCTTCTTCATACAATACATCACTAAAGAGCTTCACCTAGGGCTGATGAGTGTTAATTATGTCTCTTGATTACAAAATCTTTTTTCTGGCACATTCCACCATGTTTGTCTTTATTGATGTGCTCTGTGTGTGTGTGTGTATGTGTTCATTCATGCAGGTGGAAATGTGTCACTTTAGAAGGGAAATGTAATGCCATAATGTATTTTTGATCATCATTGCTATCACCCATATATGATGCATTTTTTTCTAATAAATATAGAGAGGAAATCATTTTTACGTTTTATTGAATTATTTTTTTCTTACAACATGATAAGTATAAGAATTTTATTTTTGTTTTAAAGAGAGAAAAGTACACGGTAGCTGTATTATCTCAGGCGACCTGTGTGGCTCCATTTCACCCCAGAACACAAAAAGATGGACTCATCATCCGATTGGCTTAATGTTTCAAATGTTGAACTTCACAACTTGAACATGTATCATGGAATCTAAGCCTTTCCTTTCAGCAAACAATTCCTTCCTAAATAATAATAGCTTGTTTTTAAGATACAAAAAGGATGTAGGTTTAGAATATCTATTTTTTGGAGACTAAATAGATTTCCAAAGAAGCTAACACATTGTGTTTTAAGTAACCCATTGACTTTACAAGGGCCTCAGAAAATACCACTTATATATTTAGGTTGATATTTTTAATATTTATGGCATTAAAAATCATCATTCTGTATGTTGCATTTTTATGCACCTGGCTTTCTAAAACTTGCTTATTAAGGGGTGGAAATTTTTATGGATAACCCCCAAGATTTCCCCCTAAGGGAAAAATGCAACAAGTTAACTTACACTCAGTCTGGGGTGCCTCATTTCCACAGGGCACTCATCTTTCATTCTAGAGAAGGGGTGAGTTATAGAAACTCCACTGAGACTGAGTGTCTCCTCTGTGTTTGAGTTTATCCGTCCTATCCATCTGTCACTATAGAAGGTGGTCTTTGTGGACATATGATTTTAGTCTGTTTACACTGTAGATATAGTCACTTTTGTTTTCTTTCTTTTTTATGTTTTTTTTTACAAGAGTCTCTTTAAAATTGATTTGATCCTCATTTATGTTCAAAATTATTTGACAATGCATGCTTTTTTGGTCTATATTGTGAAAATTTATGTAATGCTTGATAGAATGAGGTAAGAGACTTTAACTTTAAATGTTGTGAGGGAAGTTGTAATTTGATATTACGTGTCTCCAAATCGATCTTTCTAACCACAGAGAGCTTTTTCTTAGTGGTGGTAAGATCAGGAGCCCTGCTTACATATTTTGGGTTATGATTATTTTGCATATTTGTTGCATGTCTAGCTTGATGCCTTTTGAAGCTTTAATTACTGAAATTAATTGAGAGTTTTTGTTTGGTGATATTAAACGTTGATAATTAAGCATTTAAATACTGTTTGTAATCTTTTAGAAGTGAAGTAGCTTTGGATCACATTTCAGTTGATATGAATGACATTGAAACATTGCTTGGTGTTTTCTATACTTAAAAAAATTTATTTTGGCTTTTTCTTTCCACAGCAAGTTGATGTGGAAAAATGGGTATGTGTTTCCATGTATTTACAAAGCAATTGTGGTTTTAAAAAAATGCATGTTTGCTGTTGCCTCTAATCTTTTATTTTGCTTCCTACTGTGGCTTCTACTATTAGCATTTGAACTAACTGCTCTGGGGTAATGAACAAATGGTTTTCAGATCTCCATTTAGAATCTTACATGTTTCTGGTTCTGTTAGAATACTCCCCTTTTCCAGAGCCTTATAGTTTTATATAACTGGATGAAGTTGTAAAAATTATGATGTGCTTCCAGCCAACAGGAAGGCTTTTACTATTAATTCTCTATATGTTTTGCCAAAAAAAAAAAGGGTAAGTATTTAATTTTGAAATTCTACTGCTTAGCCTTGCCATGTGCTCTAGGAGGAGGCGGGCTTGCCCTTGGTTCCTGTTGTCTTCCGTGGGCAGATGAACCTGCATCCTGCGGGGCAGGGCAGCCATGAGCTGAGGCTGAGGGGCAGGCCCCCTTCCTCAGACATCAGAACTCTTCCTTAGCTGCAGTTTCTCGATCCAGGAAGAAAAAAAGAGCAAGATTAACAAAGGAAAGAGAGAGAGAGGGAGAGAGAGAGAGAGAGAGAGAGAGTGAGAGAGAGAGAGAGAGAGGAGAGAGGGAGGGAAGGGAGAGAGGGGGAGGCAGGGAGGCAGGGAGGGAGGGAGAGGGACAAAAAGGGGAGGAAATGAAAATCTCACCTTGACAGATATCCCTACTTCACATTTTCCCCAAGAGTACCAGCAATTTAAACCTATCCTCTCGTGGTGTCGCTTCATGTCCCTAGGCTTTGCGACTTCAAAGGAGGAGTCAGGAGAGACCCACTGGGCTGGACTGGCGATTCCATTTGCCTTCATTCAGTAGCCACCTGGTCTTGGGACCCAGTCTTTTATTTTTAGTGCTAAGATGTGAGAGGTAATTAGGGCACGATTTATTAATAATTAATTTTTATTTAGTAATTTATGTTTGACCTCAGCAGGTGACCCTGGGGTTGTGTTTTGGCAGGCCCAGGCTCACATGCAGGGCTTCTTGGTGGTGGTAGAGGTGACTGTGATCCAGTTCTTTGGTGCAGGGTTTGGGGAATTTTGTTCCCATCCCAGCTGCCTTTCAGGCCTGAGCAGGAAGGGACCCCAAACTGTAGAACCCACTTGGCTTTTTGCATCTTCTGAGCTTGTTTACATTTCTTTCAGTCCTTCATCCTGGGGTCCCGAGGAGCATTCAATAACCTCGGCTGAAGACTTGAAAATCCTTGTCACACTTAAATATAGATGGAAATTACATGTGTAAGACAGTGAAACGGACTTCCGTATGGGTTTTATAACACAAGTCTAGATAGCTCCCTAAGAGATGAATCTCCATGTTTTTCTTCCCTCCTTTCTCTAGGTTCTTCCTTCTCCTCTCCCCTTTCCTTCTCCCTCTCCTCCCTCTCCCTGTCTCCTCCTTCCTCCCCTCCTCCCTTCAGCCTCTTTTCCTCCCTTCATCAAGGTCTGTTTATGGAATGTTTGTATTTGCTTAAACCTAAGACCACTGACTTATCAAATGCTGCTCTTCACACTTTGAAGGAGACTATCTCTGAGTCTTGGGCTCACAGTAATGAACTGTTTTGTTTTTTTTTTTTCCATTGACTCTGTCTCCATCCACTTTTTCACCTGTCACATTGGTTTCCAACATAGAAGCCTGAAATTTCAGATCGTGGGTGGGGCTACTGAAAGAACGAAATGGACTGTGTGGCTGTCACATGAGAGACCTGCTGCAGCGAATGGTGTCTCTTATTCAGCTCTCTAGACAGATATTGTAATCGTTAAGACATACATTTATTTTGGGTGTTGACACATTTTCACAAGCGACTACTATCACGGGACATTCTATGAAATGCTTTCATGGTATGGAGATTCAGTCATGTTTGAACATTATGCCAATATACATCTCTACACTCCAGGGTTCAGCCATGTGCCAGTCAACTCACCTCAGCCCTGAGTTTTGAAAATGCAATGTTGTTTTCTTCTCATTAGGTATTTTGTCATCTGTGGACTTCTCTTTGGAATAGAGCCAGGAAGCTTGAGGAGATCTAGGGAGAAAAGAGGAAAGATGGATGTACATAATGTGTGCATCTGTGTGTATGTGCGTGTGTGTATATGTACCCTGGGGCACAAGTCCTAGGGCTTGTACTCAGGGCCTGAGCTCTTCACTGTTTCACTCAAGGCTGGGGCTTTACCACTTGAACCATACCACCACTGCTGACTTTTTGGTGGTTAATTGGAGAGAAGAGTCATGGGATATTTTTTCTGCCTTTGGTCTGGCTTTGAATCTTGATTCTCAGATCTCAGTCTCTCAGGTAGCTAGGATTACAGGAATGAGCCACCAGTGCCAGGCCATAATGCTTTGTAGAAGAAAAAGTGGGGCTGTTTGTGTTCATGAGAAGAGACCATGTGACTTTAAGGGGAAAAGAGAAACTCTTTTCTGAGTTTTCTTTGGAGTTTGCCTGGCACAGTCTGCAGAGTCTAAGGAATTTTCACTTTGCATGAAAGCTGAGCAGCGCATTGTTGGGCCTTATTAAACACACTGGGATGGCTCTGTCTGGCAGCCTTCAGAAGCAGAGGGGGACACAAAGGAGCTTTTGCTCATGATGCATTTTCAGGGTGATGTTAAGATCGTCTCCTTCTCCATGCTTGGAGAAGTCGTGACGGGAGTCACGCACTGCGGTGGGGCAGCATGCGGTCACCAATGATGGAGCTAATGAGAGAACATTCTGGAACAGTGTTGCTTGCTCCGGCATTCCTGTGGCATGTAGAGTTAGTACTGAGTGTTGTTACAGCAACACGGGAACCTCTTTGAATGCTTACTGTTTGACATGGCTCCATTGGGGAAGATGGAGTATTGATAAGTAATAGATCGTTTAAACAAAGCTTTGAAATGATTCATATTTAATATTTTCTCTCTTTTCCTTGTGTCCCTACAGAAATTCATGATGAAGGTAAGACATTGGATCACCTTCCTCTCTCCCTCTCTTCCCCCCCTTTATATATATACATACATACATACATACATAGTGCTTTGTACATTACAACTACACATATTTAGCCTTTTTTTGCATTCCTGCCCTTTTCACACTTTAAAGTTTAAAAAAAGACTAAATCTTTAAAATATAATTAATCATGTGTAGACTTTCCAACATTTGCCACTTTGAGGTCATGTTGTAATATATTTAGTGTATTTAGCTAGCATTAGGAATTTCTCCCATTAAAAGAATCTTTTTGCATGACCATCTGTTAGCACACTCACCCTGGGGTGATGTGAGCTATTTCATGGCTCTGTACTCTTGCATAAATGTAAAGGAACCTACACAAGGTATACAAGGAAAGGAACCAATAAACTACACTAGTAGTTTTCAACTTTTAGAGTTGTTCTAGAAGTGAAAATAATTTGGCCCTGGAAACTTCCATTGAGAGGAGAGGAATTAAGAGGAGAGAGATAAGTCTCTTGGATTTGTTGCCTGGGCTGACTTTGAACTAGATCCTCAGACCTCAGCTTCTTGAGTAGCTAGGAAGCGTCATTTATCTTTTGCTTAAGCTTTTCCTTAAGAAACAGTAGAGAAAGATATTTATTTTTCGTTAGCCAAGAATTGCTGCATTTGATTTATGAACCGAAAGATGTCATTCTCAATGATAGGAGCTTGGAGCAATGTTGGTGCAAATTCTGTCTGCACACCAGAGTGCTCTTGCTGATCCTGGGTTCCTCACGAATGCCCCCATCCTCACCTTTACAAAAGTCTGCACCCAGTGCAATCTGGGAATCTCCAGTACCTCTTCCCTATTCAGAAGGGATTGGGCAGTTTGGCTCAATGGCAGAAGTATTTCTTTGAAGCCACATATGGACAAAGCCATGGAATATCTTCCAAACTTGTATAGAATACCAGCTGTTATCAGATGGTAAGGAAAGGAAATTGTGCATTAAATTAGATGTATCATGACCCAGGTTTTTTTTTTTTCTTGTGCTGGTATTGTCAATAGCAGGTAAGCATTGATCTGTGTTCATTCTTTGCAAGTCTTAATAAACGATGAAATTGGGTTTGAAAAGAAAAATCAGTTTTTCTCTTTTAAATTTCCATTTGCTATTTTCCTTTTTATCATCTTATCCTTCTCTCAGTCCTCCAAACAATGCAGTGTTAATTTCCTTTTGAGAACATCCAAAGTGGTTTCTTTAGCTCTGTTCACATAAAAATCCGTACAGGTAGATAGTGCAGGTCACTTAAATCCAAAGTGTTAAGGGCCAAAAATAATTAATTAGGCTCTGGTTTTCTTTTAATGGGAAGGCCAGGAGCCAACGGCTGATTTTCCTACCTACACTGGAAGATCTTGGAAGGTGCACATCTGATTAAGTGCATACACTCATCATTTGGGCCATTTCATCAGAAAAAGATGCTGAATTGTATTGTTTTTGACCTTTCAGTCCTAATTTGGTCTTAGAGTTTTACACATGCAAAGGCCTTGCTGAGCAGCATAGCTGCAGGCAGATGCCTCTGCTTGTGAGAGAGAACCGGGCTCTGCTTGGTGCTGACTAATGAGGTGCTGGGACTCTGCAAAGCCTCATCTGTCCTCCCCCCCCCCACCACCACCGAGACCTGTGGGTTAGACCCAATCACAAGTGAGCCATCCAGGGTCACGTGGCCATCTGGACAGCACTCGGCTGGTTCTGTCCAGCATGTTGACTTTGTATCAATAAGCAGCTGGGAAGAATAAAAATGTCTGAGGTCTGGAGGTGGTGAGATTCACTTCAGATCTTAGGAAGACTCAACCACTGACTCCATGTTTATTTTTGTGCTTCTCGTATGTCAGGAGTTCAGCTAGGTACTTCAAGGCAGGGGTGACCAGGTCTCCTGCTTCACGGAGATTATTGTACGTAAATTGTTAGAAGCTCTGGTACTTATGAGAGCCAGATGGAACACGAGCGCACAGTAGAGACTTCATTTAGAATTGTGCTCCAGCTCCAGAAACCTTTGCATGACTGTTTGCTTTTGGGATAGTTTTTTTTTTACTTTATTCTTTCCTGTTAAACTTTCTTCCAGACTGTGTGACACCAAGGTTGCTCATCTGGACTTTAATCTTCTTTCTGATTTTGTCCATGCAGACAGCTCAGGGTGGTGGCCATCGGACCCTCCTCTATGGACACGCCATATTGCTCCGCCACTCCTACAGTGGCATGGTGAGTGGACACAGGGCGTCCTTCACGCGGTCGGGGGGTTGGGGGGGAGGGCCCCGTGTGGGGCTTTGTGGGGCATAGCTGTTCAACAATGCTGTCCCTGAGCTCTGATAGATGAGCTTCTTCATGTTTCTGGGCTCTACTGAGTCCTCTCATTTACAAGATGCAGTTTAACTTAGACTGTGGTTGTTTTCTGCTTTATGATTATGTGAGTGTTAGTTTTAATAACTTACTTTGGATAGGGCCATTTTAAGAAGAGAGAAGTTTTGGAGTCACATAAGAAGTGTTTTGCTTTTCTGGCTTTAAGTTATTCATTTATCAAAGAACCCAAATTTCTTTCTTAAACACAAGATAAAATATTGTCTGTGAGCTCTAATGTCAGTTCTACCCATTCACACCCTTTCCTTCTCTTTCATTTTACACCTCATCTCCTTCTTTCATTAGTGATCCTTTGGGCTCCTCAGGCAGTTTCTCCTTCTCTATAACACACGCACACACACACGCCCGTACGCATGCACACACAAACTTTTTTATTAGTATACATTATTTGTAAAGAGGGGCATTTGAAAAATATATTTCAATAAATCATACCCCCTCTATGACTCTGCCCCTCTTCCCAATATTTTTAAAAGTAACATACAGAGATGTATATTATGTATTTTTTAAATGCTGTGTTTTGACATCATGTACCTAAGATACATAAAAGTTTTACTTCATTTACTTACATACTTTATTAACGCTTAAAACTACTGACTTTATTTTATAAAATTTGGAAGGTATAGAAGAAAAAATGTTTTAATCATATGAATAAGAGAAGCTGTAAAACTTGGAAATATTTCAACTTTTTTTTCCTGTTTTAAATTTCTGACATAATTGAGGTCTTACAGGACCAAACTTATCTCTTGGTTTTGTTTACATTTAATCACAGCATGAGCATTTCCTTGTCATTTAATTTTTCATTAGCATAATTTTAGTGATTACATTATAGTTCAATATCTGGAAGCATAATATAATTGATGATCATTTGTTTTAAAAAAAGAAGATAAATCCTGTGGCATATAAATCTCTTTTGAGTAAGAGACCTGTCTTAATACAAAATCCATCACACAGACAGACAGACAGACAGACAGACAGACACACACACACACACAAACACACTGTTCCTTTCAGTCATGAGTATTGATGTAATGATTCAATTTAAGGTGCCGGAGAGAAGTTGGGAAGGGTGTAGGCATGACTTCAGTTATGGTTTAACAATATAATTTTCATTTCTGTGCTATATCACATATATAGGTCAAAGAAGAAAGTGATTATCATGTAATAAGTATAGAAGAAAATCTGAAATACCACTTGATACCCATTGTATTGTTTTCTTTTTCTGTGTATGTATCAGGGTTGGAGTAAGGCTTGAACTCAAGGCCTTGTACACTGTGCTAGGCTTGCTCACAGCTAGCGTTCTACCACTTGAACCGTGCCTACCTAGTTGGTATTTTCTGGTAAATTGAAGATGGAACCTTGCAAGATTTTTCTGCCCCAGCTGACTTTGAACTGTGATCCTTCAGGTCTCTTCCACCTCCTGAGTGGCTGGAATTACAGGCGTGAGCCATGGCACCTGGTTTTAATGCCTGTTAATTAACTGAAGCATTGATGATTAATTTTCCCAATGAAAAGAATAGCAACACTGAATCAATAACCAATGCCACACATTTAAAATGCATAAACTGATCTTGGTAACATTAACACTAATAAATAAATAAGACATTTAATCTGCTATTGCTAGGTAATTTTGTTCTGGACTTCTTGGCTGATGTGGAAGATACAAAATAAATAAAAATAAAGTATAAAAAGTTAAGTAATACCATTTGAGAGAGTGACTTGGGTACAAGACAGATATAAAATTTGAACAAGATGATTACATATTAAAGTTTCATGAAAATCTGTTTTTGACAGCATATCAAACCGTATGACTTGCGTAGAACAACCCACATGAACTAGGAGATGTATTAAGAGAACGAATCTGTCTATAGCTCTGTATGTATTAGATGAGTTTGAGGCTGGATTTGGTGTTTAGGTCTGCATTCAGTCTTACTTTGCCCCATGCTGGCCAGCCTGGGCTACTTTCCTGAACCTCTTTAAGCTTGTGCCTGTGTCTGAAATTTCATCCATCCATTCACTAAGTACTGCTTAGCATCCTGGTCTAGGCACATAATATAGTCATGAATAAGACCAGTGCCTTGCATTTGTGGACCGTCCGATGCTTGGTAGATTAATTATACCATCCATCTCTGTGTTGTGAAGGTGAGAAGTGACTAGTGACAATGCCTGCTGCTGTATGACTGACAAGTGCTATGGAATTCTTGTTACTAGGCACCTCTTTTTGCCTGCAAAGTCTGAGGACCGTCAAACTGTGGCTTTGTCTCAACTAGAGACAGGCTGCATGTTTTTAAAAGTCTCCTTAAGCAGTTGTTCAAAGAGGTTTCAGTTCCACCTGCCAGTTTACAAGTCCAGGGCATCTGGATCATTCCATCACTCTCCTCCATCTCCCCCTACCCTACCGGTCCCTTCAATGTACCTGCTTCTGTTTTTATGTAAAGATGTTGACTATAATGACTGCATTCCCCCACCCTTCCTCTCTCCATCTGTCCTCCCTCCCTTTGGCGTTCTTCTCCCCCCCCCCACAAGATAGGAGTCAGCTTTCTGCTATAGGTCTTGTTGAACCCTAAGTTCAAAGGAGTTAGGTTAGTGCAGTCCTCTTCTGGGAATGTCCTGGTATAGTCAGTTAGAGTACACATGTGCAGAACCAAATCCTGTAGACCCCGGGATCAGCGAGGACTGCAAGTTTCAAGTCAGACCCTTGACAGGTTGAGATCGATCAGCCCGCTGTCTGTCAAGGTGGGAGTCACTGTTGGTGGCCAATGGGCAGAATGAGGCTGTCCAGGTCCATTTGACTCCCTATCCCCAGGCACTGAGCCACTGTGCCAGCCCCTGGCCCTGTGGGTTCCTCTCCTTCCTCATACTAACACCCGTTTAGCTGGATGCGAGGAGCTCTGGAGCCTTTTCATGAACCGTCCAGGACTCTGGGAGTAACTCCCTGTCCCCGCTTGTCTGGTCTTCCCTGAAGGCTCCCTGGTTGTTCCCGTGATGCTGAGCTCCTTGGCACAGATGGTTGTATATCTTACTTCAGCTTGCATTCTCGTTGGCATAGCGCGTCACAAGGTATCTGCAGCTCCAGAAGGCTAGGAGGAGTCGACCTCAACTTCCTATCTGAGAACAGATCTTTAGGAACACCCAAAGGAGCGATGGTGTGGCTAGTCTGACGTCTCTTGGGGAAGGGCACACATGTGGAGGCATGGTGAACCCCATTTTCACAAGCGGCCATGCTGCTAGTGAAATAAACTCTGGGTAGATGTCAAAGAGTTTAAAAACAAGTTTTAAAGTGAAAACAGAATGCAAAGATAAGTAGGTAGATTTTTCTGCTTTTAATAAAAAGACTAATCAGCGGAGATAGATAGACATCCAGCTCCTTGTTGGAATAAGGCTCCGATGTGACTAGAAACACTTCATGACGACTGCCAATTCTGTATTTATTTATTTATTTTTTAGTATTTGTGCTGTCTGTCAACCTCCCGGTCCTCAACTGACAAGCTGGCTTTTGACGTGGGCTTGCAAGAGGATACCACAGGTGAGCGGCTCGTGCTGAGGTGAATCTGTGTGTGGAGAGCCCGGGCAGAGAGTGCTGCGTGGAGCCCGGATGGAGAGCACCGCCAACAGGATCAGAAATACATTTAGCTGAGTGGCTTTGTTTATATCTGTACTGGAGTTTGAACCCAGGACATGGGTGTTGTCCTGAGGCTGATGCTCTACCACTTGAGCCACAGCTCCATTTACAGCTTTTTTTTTTTTGCTGGTTAACTGCATATCAGAGTCTCACAGACTTTCCTGCCTAGGCTGGCTTTGAATGGCGATCCTCAGATCTCAGCCTTCTGAGAAGTTAGGATAATAGGTGTGAGCTCCCAGCGCCTGGCATTGTTTCATAATTTTGGAAGCACAAATGTCTGTGAGTGTATGCTTTTAGAAAACCACAAGAAGAGAGTACAAACTTGTGTTCTTGGTTCTCTGAAGAATTTACATTTACTTTAGGGACCGTTGTACGAACTGACTATGTAGTCTTTTATCTTTTACAATCTTGTACAAGCCTACATGGTTCTCTTTTTCTTTCTTGATGTTTCCCAAGCTACTAAAGCATAAATGGGCAAATAGTGAGCATACTATACATGTCTGGTTGAAGGACCACGTACAACTTTTAACAATGTAGGGGAACAGAGATAAGGAATTTCATCAGGTGACATGCACATGAGACTGTAGGAAAAGTAGCTCAATGCACAGATAATAAGAAGCATGCTTAAGGAATGTTATTGGATTGCTCATTTAATCATTCATGCAAGTTTAATTTTTATTAAGTGGCTATAATATACCAGCAAGGGGCTGGTGGATCAAAGCACATAGCAACTCTACTGTTGAAGAACTTGCATTCTGGCATTGAGGAATTAGTCAAGAAAAAGAATTAACTTCTGGAAAATGGCAAAGCTGGTGAAGGGGAGAGAAGGAGAATTCTTAGAGCACAGACAATATGAGAGCCTCATTGCCATGGCTAGTGAACGCTTCCATGAGGGTTTGCCTGGGAGTCATGAGCAGATTGAAGTGGTTTGTTTACACTTCTATCTGTGGAGACATGACCAGGCACAAGGAAGGACATGCGGCCGAGCTTTTGCCTGAGTTGTTCTATAAGAAAGTATTTAAGGCATAGTCACAGGCTTTTATTTCATTGTACCCTTCTGTAGTCAGCTTCTGATATTTTACTGAGATCCAGAGAAATTAGCACATTTTAACATAACAAAAATGGGGCAAACAAAGGGAATGGGATAGTAGGATTTTTAGGTAGTTACCCAGTGTCTTCCTTCTGAACCAGCCCCCACGTCATTTTGGAGTCAAGTGATGAAAGTCACAGAGCCCCGAGTGAACAGAGCAAAGGCATGTTGTTGGTTGCATGGGGCAGGAAGTCGATGTGGTTGAAGTGTGGCTCGGGTCTCACGTGAGTCTACACGGCTGTCCTCTGTCAACAGTTCTTAGCAGGAGGAAAGCTCCTAAGATGTCACAACCCATTTCCACGGGAAGAAACTTGGCCTCTCAGAATGTCTTCACCCTAAGCCATTCTTGGGCTGCGTTCTTTGTCTGCCATATTAATGATGCACAAAATGTCCTTTTCCTGCAGCCCACACAAATGGAATCATTGCCAAAAGAGATAGATCTGGAGTTAAAAAACAAAATGCTCAGGTGTGTCTCTGTCTCCCCCAACTCCGCAGGTGAGGCGTGCTGGTGGACCATCCACCCCGCCTCCAAGCAGCGGTCAGAAGGAGAGAAGGTCCGCGTGGGAGATGACCTCATCTTGGTCAGCGTGTCCTCGGAGAGGTACTTGGTAAGTGCGGCCGGCAGTCCCGAGGGTGTGGCACTGCGGTGAACTGATTCTGCCAAACTCCGAATTGAACAGGAAAGGGAATTTGCATCTAGACAAGCAAAGCTTGGAAAATCACGTGTGGTCAGAGTTGGGACTGTGGCTGTGCAGGTCTGGGTAGGCCCGAGTCCTCCTGACCTTGGGTGGGTGGGGGGGCGTGTTCACCAGGCCCACAGCGCCCTCTCTGGGATCCGCTTCCTAATAGAGTGGGAATATTCCACTGTGTGTCCTTTGAGTCCCCGGGGCTGCTCTGTGGAACTGTGACTGAAGATCTTGATCTTTACGGAACCGGTTTATTACCGGAGAGACTCTCATCACGCAGGTGGAATCTCAAGGTTTGTCACCTACAATTGCATTCTCTCCCCAGGTTGGGCTGGCAATGGGAGAATGAAAGCAGGAGTGGGTATTGGCTGTTGGGTGTACTTCTGGTTTTGGTGTTTCCGTGGAACACATCTAGTAAGTTACAGTTCTGCTAAAGAATAGGGCTGTGCAATGTTCATAAAAGGTTGCAATCTGTGGAAGTGCATGATACTCTTTGGACTTCAGAAAGGAATCAAACACACAACAGGGGCATGGCAGGCCTGGCACTCATGTCTACCAGAAGGTCCCAGATGTGGTTGTGGGTGATGGCTGAAACAAAGCCAGAAGCAGTGTCCATGGCAGGAAGCTCATGCTAGGCAGGGCTTAGATGTCACCGAGTCAAAAGTGTTCTTTGTGCCTAAGCAGGCAGGGTGAGGGAAGTCACTGGTGCCCATCGTTTGATAAAAGGTGGGAAAGAGAGATAGAGGGAATGTTACAGGTGATCTTTTTGGGGGGTGGAGGGGCTTGTGAAAGGCAAGGTAAGAACAAGAAGAGAAAGAGGAGGAGGAAGAAGGAGAAAAAAATGCTTAAAATAAAGAAGTTGAAAAAATTTTAAGTCAAAACCAATTATCTGTGAAAAATAGTTTTTCTTTTATTAGCACTGGCTTTTCAGTCATTTGTGTCTGCTGACCTATGACTGGTTAGTGGCTGGACCATCTGACTTTGCGTTTCAGACATTCAAGTGACATTGCCTTGACTACAACCTACAGGAAGGCGCTGTGTGGTGGGGCGCCCCGACTGAACTGGACCTGGGGGTTTGAGGAACACAGAATACAGGGTCTTATCACGTAGCAAGGTTGTCAACTACAGGCCCACGTGCTGTCTTTTCTGGCTTTTGCTGTTTTCAGAGTCTACTATGAAACCCCATCTTAAGCCTCTTTCTAGGAACATTCGTCAAGAAAGCATGTTTATTTTTGCGCCGACTAGAAGCTTTGCCTTCTTTTAAAGAAGGCTTTGGGTAAGCAGCTTACATATAAGGGAAGCACACAGTGGAGGAAACAGGGCACGTGAATGTGAAGTCTCTGGTCCGTTCCACACTGAGCAGTTTAATTCATGTGAAATGTGAGATGTCAGGTTACCTGGGCTTGGGCTGCAGAAATGATTGGTCCAGGCAGACCAGCCACAGACTGCTGCTGGCCGCATCCGTCAGCCATCTGCCTTGAGTTCTCAGGAGTGATAAAAAGGCTTCAAACAAGTGATTTTGGGGCTGCCTAAAACCCATATTGGATTTTTTTAATTGAGCAAAACCCCAAATTTTTGGATTAAATAACAAATTATTAAATTGTCTAAAGAGGCATGAATACAGTGATGAAAGACAATGTTTTCAAGTGCATTGTTATGTCAACCAAGTCCGTTTTCTCTGGGGGCAGGGAGGGTGCATGGCTGTACTGAGGGCTTGTACCTGCTAAACATGTGCTCTGCCTTGGAGCTATATCTCCAGTCCTTCCTGTTCAGTTCTGCTCATTCACTTTGAGCCATTTATTTTTCTCTTCCTGTGGTTTAGGAGTTATAGAGTATGATCTCTCTCTATCCCTCCCTCTTGCTCTCCCTCTCACTCTCTCTTCCCTTCCCCCACTATTTGGGTTCAAACGCAGAGCCTTATACCCAGCCTGTTTGCTCAGCTGGTGCTCTACTACTTGAGCCATGCCCCCAGCCCTGCTTTTTTGCTGTTTTTTTTGTTTTTAGACATAGAGTCTCATGAACGTTTCCGCCTAAGGTAGCCTCAAACTATGCTCCTCCCTATTTTAGCCCTCTGAGTAGCTGGGATTAAAGGCATGAGACCTCAGCTCCTAGCTAAGAGCATCTATTTCCTTGTGTCCATTATTTATTCTTCCTTTGATCAAGAGAAAAACTTGAAGCTAGGGGAGTAATATGGCTTACCCACTTGTGTTTCCTGTCTCTGGATGATGATTTATTTTACATGCTCTATCTCGAGGGCCCTCGAGGGCCCTGGCATTTAGTAAGAGATAAGAAAGTGAAGAATCGCATCAGATAAGGGTTGAATTTAGAGATGCAGTCTGGTGAAGCGTTTTGATCTCACCATACTCATGGATAAAGGAAATACATAGGGTTCCAAAGGAAATGGAAAGTATTGAAATATACCTTTGTGGGCATCAGGTTAGGAATTCCTGTCCCATTACTTCTGTTTCTGACGTGTGTGTGTGTGTGTGTGTGTGTGTGTGTGTGTGTGTGTGTGTGTGTGTGTGTGTGTGTGTGTGTGTGTGTGTGTGTGTGTGATTAAAACAGAGCTTTTGGGTCAGCCCCTCTTTCACTGGCCCCACACCACTCCTCTTGAGTGTATTACTACTACTACTACTACTACTACTGTTGGTTGTGGGGCTTGAACTCTGGGCCTGGGCGCTGTCCCTGATCTCTTCAGTTCAAGGCTAGCACTCTAACACTTGAGCCACAGCGCCACTTCTGATTTTCTGGTGGTTAATTGGAGATAAGAGTCTCATGGATTTTCCTGCTCAGGCTGGCTTTGAACCGTGATCCTTAGATCTCAGCCTCCTGAGTAGTGAGGATTACAGGGGTGAGCCAATGATACCCGACTTGAGTGTATTATTTTTGGACAGGATTGGACAGATCAGATGATTTGTGGATAGGGAAGCTTGAAAGTCACTAGCATGAGGTTATAGCTGACACCAGGTAGCAAATCAGTCCCCCGAGCCCAGCCATATTGGCTGACCCTTCCTGATTAGCGAGTAAATTCCATGGTGCTTACTTTTTTCAGCCCAAGGCTGATTTCTGCTTTCAACCTCAGCCGTCATCTCTTTTGGCTTTCAGGATATAGCTCATCTCGGTTTCAGAGATTGAGACTGTTGCCATAATGTGAATATTTAATACTGCAGGCCTGACTTGAAGCTGTTCTGTCTTGGATTTCTATTTGCTGTTCAAGCAGCAAAGTTAAGTGGAAGCATGCGAAGTCGTTATACCCAGAGAATATTTTCCTTTGAAGAGTGCACATTACTTAGATAGCTCTCTGTGACTGTCATACTGTCTTAAGGAACTTCATGACTGTATAGCTCAGCGTATGCACGGTTCCTCTTTAGGCTTGGGTCTGATGGGGAAATTGCATTTTATCTCCTCCACCCCCTCATTCCTTTCTTCACTGTGATAGCTCCTTGCTCCAGCAAAAGGTCCTTGATCAGGTCCAGCCTTCATCTGTGGTTTGAAGTGGATGCTCAAAGAAGAGACTGTCCGTCCCCTGCACTCTGTGTTCTCCTATTTCTGCCTTCTGGTCTTCTGTTCGCTACATTCCCCATACCAGAGCTGATTAGACTCAAGGGGTCGCAGCCTACAGCCCATGAATGACGAGGTTTGTGGGGTATGGATTAATGCCAGACATCCTACCAGGCTGGTGTCCCAAGCCTCTAGTGTGCTTTAACAGATTTACTCGTAGCACAGTCCCATGTTGAGTCAGTATACCGAAGTCCAGCATTTGCACGAACAGGTTTGGAGATGGCGCATCCCCTGGCGGAGGCCCAGGTCGAGTGACCCATGGGCCCCTTCCAGCTTGAGTCAGAAGCCCCACCTCTCCCGTGGAATAGGCACCAGGACCATGGACCAGGACCGTGGACGTGAGCGTGGTTCCAGCCCTGTTTGGCGACACACGTGCTCTTAGAATTTTGTCCCGTTTTTAACATAGCTCACAGAACACTTGGAATGTGTGGCCCTGTGGTGTGTTGTGCCTGTATTTCATCTCTTCCTCCAGGGCAGAGAGGCATTCTGTTGCTGCTTAGCCCTGTATGGATCAGTGAATCCGTCATGAATTAACCAAGGGTTCTCTACTTAGTGTGGTATCAAATGAGGTTTAACTTGGCTTCAAAGCTGAGATAAAAGGAAAGCCTTAGAGTTTTGAGTTATTTTCAGATAGATTTTTGATTGTGTGTATGTGTGTGTGTATGTGTGTGTGTGTGCACGCGCGTGCACTCGTGTGCTCGTGTGCATGCGTGCATGCGCATGTCTTGGGGCTTGAACTCAGGGCACTGTCCATGAGCTTTTTTGTGCAAGTGTTCTACCACTTGATCCACAGCTCCACTTCCAGCTCTTTAGTGGCTAATTGGAGATAAGAGTCTTACAGACTTTCTTCCCTGGGCTGGCTTTGGATCCTCAGATTTCAGCCTCCTGAGTAGCTAGGATTACAGATGTGAGCCACCGATGCTGGGCTGCAGATGGTTTTCAAAAAATCTGTATCTTGGGGCTGGGGGTTTAGCCCAGTGGAAGGGCGCCCGCCGGGCGCGCGCAAGGCCCTGGGTTCGGTCCTCAGCCCTGGGGAAAAAAAAATCTATACCTTACATCTTAAATATTCACACACGCGTGTGTATGTAAGCTATAGATACACACATATGTGTCTATATCTTATATATATATGCAGTTATTTCATATCTATACACATATAGGTGGTATGAGATCTTTTATTAAGTCACTGAGGCAGAAATATTTATGGTGTAACTTAAAACTTTTTTTTTAAACTTGTGCTGTTTTGTTTTTGGAGGTTTAATTGGCTTCTCTGCCTGTTTCTGTACGGAACAGCATGGTAGACGTTGGGCCCACAGGTGGGGACCCCAGTTAGATAAATCACCAGAAAGGAAAATGAACCAAATAATGATACCAGGTGTTAATTGTTGTGAAGGAAAATACGTTTTTCTGGTTTGCGGAAGCAGAACAGATATGATTAGCTTGTAGACAGTGAAAATAACTGGAACACATTAAAAAATTAAGGTCAGTAAAAGCATGGGATCAAGTATGAGAATGGGCGTTTATACGGAAGCAGGCGGCCAGCGGTGGTCAAGGGGAGGTGTGGAGGACTGGCTGCTAAGTCCAATGGTTCTCCTGGAAGGCAACTAGGTAATTATGAGTGTGTCGCAATGCCCCCATCAATGCCTTTTCTTCTTGAGGGTGCGAAGGACTCAGTGATGTGGAGGGCTTGTGTTTTGGTAAAAGAGCCCCTGTGTTGCTTATGGGTCTGTGGTGTTCCTTGGGTGTCTGTGTCCGGCTGTGGTTGGCGGGTCTTCATTTCCTAGGAAGATCAGAGTCCCAGGGCTTGTCTGATAGGGTTAAAATCATGAGATGCTCCAGGGCGGAGGATGATGGCCACAGAGAAGGTGTGGGCAGGTAGAGTTTGGAATTTTTTCCCTTTTTTTTGGTCAGTCGTGGGGCTTGAACTCTGGGCCTGGGCACTGTCCCTCAACTCTTCAGTTCAAGGCTAGCGCTCTACCACTTGAGCCACAGCACCACTTCTGGTTTTCTGAGTGGTTTATTGGAGATAAGAATCTCATGGACTTTGCCTGCCTGGGTTGGCTTTGAACCATGATCCTCAGATCTCAGCCTCTTGAGTAGCTAGGATGACAGGTGTGAGCCACTGGTGCCCAGATAGTTTGGAAATTTTAAAGGCAGCCAAGGAGTGATGAGTAATCGAGGCATTTTGCTGTAGTTATAACTTTGTTTTTAGCACACACACACACACACACACACACACACACACACACACACACACACACACACACACATTCTGCCCCTACTGGGGCTTGAACTCAGGGCTTGTGATGTATCTGTTAGCTTTTTATTCAAGACTAGCCCTCTACCACTTGAGCCATAGCTCTGCTTCCAGCATTTTGCTGTTTAATTAGCAATAAGAGTCTGTAGGATTTGTCTCCCCAAATTGGCTTTGAACCACCATCCTCAGATGTCAGTTTCCTGAATGAGTATGAGGCATCGTGCCCAGCCTTGGTTAACATTTATTTATTTATTTATTTTTGTCTGTTGTGGGGCTTGAACTGTGGGTCTGGGTGCTGTCCCTCAGCTCTTCAGCTCAAGGCGAGTGCTCTACCACTTGAGCCATAGCGCCACTTCCCTTGGTTAACATTTAATAAGTAATATCTATGTTCCTGACACGTATTAAATATTACATTTTGTGAACACAGTTCTATTTTTTAAGGACAACCTAAAATAATAGTCTTGAGAGCTGAAGGAGGTTTAATCGCCCTATTTTTAGGCAGCTATTAGGAGATACTGCCATCTACTGTCTGTGATGTCATATTGCAGTGAACAGTTTCTGTAGACTTCATCAAATGAAGACACTGGCTTTGTGGTCAACAAACTGTCACCATTATAAACTGTCACCATTATAATGCCAAGTGCCTACCTTCTGTAACATTTTTTTCCATCAACATACCTTAAGACAAAAAATAGTCTCTTTTTGGCAAATAAGAGTGTTTGTTGTTGGTATGTGTGTCTGAGATCAAAAGGGAGCCTCAATCGTTTTCTTTCCCTGCTGGTGTTTTTGAGTTTCGAATGACCAAATTGAAGGAGCTGTGTGGTATGGGCATTTGGGAGCATGCCAGGGCAGGTTGGCTTGCCCGGTGGGACTCACCCGCCATCCTCCCTTGCCTGTTCGCAGCACTTGTCCTACGGCACCGGCTTGCACGTGGACGCGGCCTTCCAGCAGACTCTGTGGAGCGTGGCCCCCATCAGCTCAGGAAGCGAAGCCGCCCAAGGTAAAATCCTCCTCTCTCATTGGAAGGCTCTGTCCTCAGTGCACACACTGATCACCTTTGGGATTGTGGTCATGAGCTGCTTGCTAATGAGTGAGCTTTTGTAGTGCGCCAGGCGATCATGGCGTTTAAGGAATCTCTCTTCAAGGGAAGCTGGGACTGAGGTTTATCTTTATTTTTGTGCTTTCAGCGTGAGCTTTTTTGCCTCCTCTCCAGTGGAACACAACCTAAGGGTTGTGTTCCTTTCATTTCTTCGTCTCTGGGTATCTGTCATTCATTAGGCCAATCAAAGTCAGTGTAAGTTCATCATTCAGGCTTGTGTCTGATGGCTGCACCCCAGTGATGTTTATGCAGTTGGATTTCCTAGGGCAGTAGCTGCATTCTTCTCACTTTTGATAGGGTGTCATGGTGTGTGTGTGTGTGTGTGTGTGTGTGTGTGTCACGGTGTGTGTGTGTGTGTAAAATGGTGAGGTTTGTGTGGCTGGGCCTTAGCATGTCCTGCCAGTGCCATCGACCCCTGTGACCTTGTCCAGCACTGACGTTCCATGTATGAAAGTGCACCATCGGCCCCCTTGGTGCATCTGGCCATCAGCCTGACCATTGTGACCTTGATCCTTGCAGGGTACCTCATCGGTGGTGATGTCCTCCGGCTGCTCCATGGCCACATGGATGAGTGCCTCACTGTCCCCTCTGGAGAGCACGGGGAAGAGCAGAGGAGGTAGGTACCCAAGCCCCGCACCTGGTGCTGGGGTTGGTGTAACTGATGCATGCTCACTCTGTCTTGATGGAATTTTACTTGGCTAAGAATTTGTCTGTCAGGACACTGGCATCACAACAGGTCTACGCGGTCATTGATCTGCCCACTGAAGGGAGCCATTGCTTGGTTTCTCAGGAAGAGTTTGGTTTGTTGTTTTTTTTTCCCCCCACATGTTTTTCTCACTGGACATTTTTTTTTTTTGTATCACTAAAACACATTCAGAGGCATTGTACCAAATGAAAGGAGTGGGCGGAGCGAGCGCATGAACTTAAACTGCTTAAAATGTCATTGAGTGTTCATTAGTGTTGATGAATTCGCCTTCTCCGGGGTTTAATTTCAAACTCGGCCTCAGGAGCAGAGTTCTGGAATTGTGTAATATGCCAGGGCCCTTTTCAATTACCTCCCACATGTTGACAGGTGATGAAGTCGACCACTTCCCGATACAATACCTCTCTCCTGTTCATAGTTCTGGGGACAGGACAAAAATTGTCTGCCTCTACTTGAAAGTGCACTGATTTTAAAACAGTAAAAATACTTGTTATGATTTGCGAGTTCCTGCCGCCCCTCACAAACGAGTCAAGGAACATGGTAAACCAAACATATCCATGAGAGATGGCAGCAAAGTCTGTCTCTGTGGTTTGTGATGTGTCTTTAAATCTTTTACCCAGTCCTTCTCATAACATTGATATGGACGCTTGGGTAGCTTGTTTAATAAATATTTATTACTGTAATTTAAGAAGAAGACATAAGGAGAGTGTTGAGGAAATTAATAGCCATTTAAGTAGCTTAGCGAGAGTCAGGTGCTCTGAAAGCTGGTCTCAGGACTTTGCTCTGACCAGGCAGATCTGTGTATGGTGACGCACAGAATGCAGAGCCTGGAGAAACTTCCAGAGCTAAAAACGCTGCTTTCAATGTCCTGGGGGGAAGGGATTGATGGTTCAAAGAGAAAGGGGCTGTCAAGAGCAGCCTGTTGGGGAATGAATTCCAAACAGAGGCTAAATGTAGGAGCTGATGCGCAGCAGAGCAGTGCATTCTGGGAGTTGCAGTTCCCACCTGGAAGATGGAGGGATGGAGGCATGGAGGATGGAGGGATAGAGGGAGGGATGGATGGAGGGATGGAGGGAGGTATGGAAGGATGGAGGGATGGATGGAGGGAGGGATGGATGGAGGGATGGATGGAGGGATGGAGGGATGGATGGAAGGATGGATGGAGGGATGGAGGGATGGATGGATGGATGGAGGGATGGAGGGAGAGATGGAGGGAGGTATGGAAGGATGGAGGGATGGATGGAGGGAGGGATGGAGGGAGGGAGGGCGGGATGGAGGGAAGGAGGGAGAGAAGCGCAGCTTCCAGGCGAGAGAGAATCAATCAGCTTCCTTGGTCAGCACCATTGCCACAGCTGAGTGGGATCCCTGCAGCTGTGACAGGACACAGGCTTAAAATCAAAGATTCTTGAGGCAAGAAAAACCCATTAGGATTTTTCCTAATGGGTACACCTGTAATCCTGGCTACTCAGGGGGCTGAGATTTGGGGATCAAGGTTTGAAGCCAACCTAGGCAGATAAATCCAAGAGACATTTATCTCCAAGTAGCCAGCACAGAGCTGGAAGTGGAGGTGTGGCTCAAGTGGTAGAATGCCAGTCTTGCAAGAAAAAGCCGAGTGAGAGGGCACATGGCCCTGAGTTCAAGCTCCAGTACTGGCAAACAACAATAATAATAATGATAATGATGATGATAGAATATGTGTTAGGAGAGGGATAGTCTAATAGTTCATCTGACATAAGGATTCAAGGACTAGATGGGATGGGGAGGGGTCCTCGTGGGTAGGACAGTCAGGTGGGGGCAGGATGGTCAGGTGGTCGCAGGAGGGTGGAGAGCCTGTGTGGTTAGCCATGGGAGCCCAGGGCAGGGAGCGTGGGTTTTCCCAGTGCCCCAGCACAGAGCTTGTATAGGCCTAGAACAGCATCTTCCACTCCAGGGTCCCTGAATTCCTTCATGCAGGCCTCCCCGGAGCGCTTCTGGGTCTTCCCTCAAGGCCGCTAGTGATCGGTGGTTGCGAAGGCCAAACCCTAGGCTAGATGGATTAGCTTTGTAGCTCCTCAGGGGACGTCATTACTTTCCACTGTTCTTGTCACCCTCTGTGAAGTACAGCTCAATTGTCACCTTCTAGTCCGTGGGGGTGTTGTGCAGAATGCTGATGAAATGAGCAGCTTGTATTTAATCCAGGCGACAGGAGTGGCGCATGGGATATGATGGTGGCTGTCACCATCAACATCATTACTGAGACCGAACAGGCCTCATGGAGCCTGGGAGGACAGGAGGGTCTGTGGGCTGCAGGGCTCGTGTGTGGACAGCGAAGGGCTTGGGCTTTGCTGGAAGAGAGGCCCGAGGAGGTCCGAGAGAGCCTGGAGCCAAGCTGGCCACTGCTGCGGAGAAAGCGAGGGGGGATTTCACAGATGTTTGCAGACTGCACCCGTCCGGCCGTCCACCCTGGGACCTGTCACGCTGTAATGCTGACCGTTTCTCTCTCAATCCAGTCCTGGCCTGTGTCCAGCCGAACCTCCTGGGATTGTCTCAAGATACTGGTGGCAGCAAGAGTTTCCGTCTGTGTTCCTTTTTTATAGCACATCCATGTGATGAAATGAGATGAAAGTGGACGGCAGACTGTGGCTGAAGGGAGGAAACGAGTCAGGAATAGGCAGCCTGGAGCTGCTGGAAGGACACTTTCTTTGCAAAGAAGAATTCTATTTGTCTTGATTACATATTGGGATTCAGTGATCATTTGCACAAAATGATAGGATAATTCTTTTTTTTATTGTGAAAATACTGTACAGAGGGGTTACAATTACATGGGCAAGATAATGAGTACATTTCTTATCAAGCATTGTTGCCTCCTCATCCCTTCCCATTCCCCCTACCCCGCCACCCAATCCTTCCTCCCTCCCCCTGTGCCCCCCCAACCAAAGTTGTAAAGTTCATTTTTTGGCATAATGATTTGTACATCTCTTTGTTGCAATGGGTCCACCAGTATCCCTATTTAAATGATTTGTTTTTTCCCTTCCCCTCCACAAATTATACTGACATCAAATACAGTGAAAGCAGGGGTTATACTGTGGGGGAAGGACATACAAAGCAACAAAGATATACTCTTATAAATATTTTAGAAACAATCGCATGAAAGAAAAAAATATTTGAATACTTATCTTGGGGTTCATTTCCCTAACATCAACTTATCTGACCTTTTCTGCTTGACTCAGACATATACTAGATATTGGAAATAAGGGAAACCATGGGACCTATGTTTCTTTGGGCCTGGCTTACTTCACTTAATATAATTTTTTTTCCAAGTCTTAACATTTCCTAACAAATGGGGCAATGTCATTCTTTCTGATGGAGGCATAGAATTCCATTGTGTATATATACCATATTTTCTTGATCCATTCTACTGAGGGGCATCTGGGTTGGTTCCATATCTTAGCTATGGTAAATAATGCTGCAATAAATATAGTTGTGCTGGTAGCTTTAGTGTGGTCTTGTTTGTGAACATTTGGGTAAATGCCCAAAAGTGGGATTGCTGGGTCATAGGGGAGCTCTATGTGGAGTCTTTTGAGGAACCTCCATACTGCTTTCCAAAGTGGTTGAACAAGTTTACACTCCTACCAACAATGTAGTAAGGTTCCTTCTGTCCACATCCCCTCCAGCATCTGTTGTTATTAGAGTTCTTGATTCTAGCCATTCTAACTGGGGTGAGGTGGTATCTCAATGTTGTTTTGATTTGCATTTCTTTTATGGCTAGAGAGGTTGAGCATTTCTTCATGTATCTATTGGCCAGATAGGATAATTCTTTATATTTTTAGTGCATGGAGTACTTGATTATTTCTGGTCTTGTTAATATCATGACCTAGACTTTTTTTTTTTTGGTGCCAATCCTGGGGCTTGAACTCGGGCTGTGGCTGTTGTCTGTCTCTGAGCTTCTTTGCTCAAGGCTAGTGCTCAGCTACCCAAGCCACAGTCTACCTCCAGGTTATTTTGGAGATTGGAGATAAGAGTCTCACAGATGTACCTGACCTGGCTGGTTTTGAACCTGACCCTTACATCTCAGCCTCTTGAGTGGCTAGGATTACTGGCAAGAGCCACTGAGCCTGGCTCATATAGACTTTGAAACCTTTTGCTCTTTCTTCCCTTTAAACTGTTGCCTGTTCCTTAAGGAACTTCAAAAGCCAAAGACCACTGGGCCTATGGGCAGGGTGTCTTCCATTGAGATCAGCCTGTTTGTGAGAATCTGTAAAGATGACCTCTAACCTATCAGGAGTCATTATGAAAGGAAGTAAAGATATCTTGATATATATATATATGTATATATATATGCATATATATACATATATTTGAATATTTGAACATTGATTTAAAAGCTATAGAGGTTCCAGGAAAATATATCCATGTTTCTTTTGCTTCAAACTCTGCTGAAATTCTGGAGGTACCCATTAATTATGATTAACACAGAACAATCAGAATCAGATCAACTCTATTATCTGAAGTAGTGGAAATGATTAAGTCAGTGGCCAGTGGTGACACTTCCTTGGGAGAAGCGTGGGCATCTTTTGCTCGTTGGTGCTCTGCTTCCGGAGCAAGTCCACTGACAGGTGTTCAATATGCATAACTATAATTGTTGTTATGGAAACTGCTCCTCAGAAAAGAGCTTGGTAATTTTAGATACTAATAGGTCTATCTCTAACTTCCTTGTCACGGTAGGGTGTTTATGCCTAGGTGGCTGCCTCCTCTTCCTCCCTGCGAAGAATGTTAGACAGACTCTTGGAAAGCACTTAAGGAGAAGTGATTGGAGAAGAGATAGATTTTGTCCCCACACTCCCTGGCCCATCTGTGAGATGACTTTGGCTGAATGCTGATGTGAAGTGTAACATCATTATTATTTTAAGCTTACTGAGATTTTTCGAGGAGAAGGTTTAAGTTAGAAACTTTTGGGTTCTACAACCTGTCTAGCAGCAGAGAAAGTCAGTTGGAATTTATCAGATGCGACATGGTATTTTAAAAACTAGATTCTCAGCTGGGCCTAGTGGTGCGTGTGTGTAATACACTACGCAGGAGGCCAATGCAGGATGATGATGAATTTGAAGGCAGCCTGGACTGCACTGTGAGATCTTATTACAAACACAAGCAAAACAAAATTGCACGCCAGAGGCTTTTGGTTATAAAGGCTTTTTTTTTCCTCTCATGCATGATGTACTGTTTGTAGGGAATATTTTCTGTTTAAGATTTTAATCTCTCAACAGATTTCACTATTTCCATCTATAATTTTATAGGGATTTAATAAAATGTTAATAAGGGTATTTATGCGCATATATATCCTTATTTATAGATTAAACATACGCTATCTGAATCAAGTATATGATACCGTTAAGTTAAAGCATTTCAGTCTAATTTCTGTGGTACTGTAGATTGAACCCACAGCCTCACACCTGCTAGATAAGACTCTATACTGAGCTAGCCCAAGCAACCTGATAAACGTTGAAAGGGGGAAGATTAGGGAAATATTATTTGGGATCTGTGATCTGGTGATCGATATTAGACAGTCATTGTTTATAAGGCTGTATTTTTATGTTAAAAATACCTTGACTACATAGGGTATGTCCAGCTTGATTCATTTAAAAGCTGTGCAGGTTATTGGAAGATTACGTTCTCATTGGGATGTGTGACAATAAAAACACAAATGTGTGTGCGTGTTTAGTAACATCCAAAGTCCCGTGTACCCAGATGTAAAATTATTAGATAAGAGCAATGGAGGAAAATAAAGCAAAGACGTGATTAGAGAGACAGAGAGCGAGAATGAATGAGAGACAGACATAAAAAGACAGAGACAGAATAAACTTGTCTCCTTCACCTCGCCAGGTGTTGCTCTCGGCATAGATCTGCCCTGTCTCGTTAGTCTCAAGTAGAGGGTAATTAAGTCATCCTTCCTGACACTATCTGGGAATAAAAGCTACATTTACTTCTAGAATGTGACTTAGCAGGCAAAAACCAAGGTATGAGCCGGCTATAGGTATGCATGGCAGTGCTTTTACCTCCATGGCCCTTTCGGTATGATGGTGATTTAAGGAGCTGTGGTTGTAAATAATTGCTAAGTCATGAAATGGGCTTGCTGTAATAATGCATTCACAGTTGCTCAGTCTGGCGGAGACAGAGACACGGTTTATGCTCCCACATGAACGTCAAAGCCCTTTTACAGATGCGATATTCCCCTCGGCCACTACCTAAAGAAGATTCTAGAGCAATTCTTATGTGTTCTACAATGATCAAGGAAGACATTATTCCTCCTCTTTGTGGTGAAGAGGATAAGTCTGTCTGGATTCTTTATCTTTGAATATCCAGGTTTGAAGTTGCCTTTGCTAGCCTTCAAAGAGCAACTGATGTTCTTCATGTGGCTCTGTTCCTGGGCGATCTGTTTTCTTGCATTGATCTATTTATCTGTTCTCTTGCCTGTCACACACTGTCTTCATTAGTGTAGATCCATAATAAGCAGTGTTCACCCCGTTGGAGTCCACAAAATAATTGCAGGACTTTGATTGGGGCTGCTTTAAAAGTTTAAGCCACGTTTGTTAGCATATTGAGGCATGTCTTCTGTACATGTGGGACATGTCTCCATTTATTTACCTCTTCTTTGATTTCTTTTCACTCCTGTTTTATATCGTTCATCATGTAGAATTTATACATACTTTTTGTTAGATTTATGCAAGGTATTTTGATGTTTGGTGCTTAGATAGATGACTAATCCTAATGACTTGTTATTTATCACTGGAAATCTGGAAGCATTTGACTTTTCATATGAGCGGTATCAGATAATGGATGATAAGTTTTAGGAGTTTGTAACCATTATGGTTGATTTTAAGGGGATGAGGATTGACACTCTTATTTACAAAGGCATTTTTGGTTCTTTTATCCTAATATGTATAATTGGAATTTCCTTCTTGCATTAGATTCAACTTCGAATCCATTCTTGATTATGGTGTGGGGGATGGCTCTTGTCTTTTCCTAATATCAATGGAGTTGGTAGGAAATCATGAGTACATTAGCTATGGGTTTTTATTTATTTTTTATTGATATTCTTTATCAAGTTGAGGAAGCTCCTCTCTGTTTGTACTTGGCTGAGAAGTTTTATATTTGGCATGATCATAGATAGTTTTTTCTTTAGCCTGATGGATGTGTGGTGGGTGATATCAATTATGTTCTTCATATACTCAAGAATAGCATTTGGCTGCAGTACATTTTGGCTTTGAAATAAAAAATAGTGATTCCTATTAGTTAGATATTTAATAACTTATCTTATTAAAAAAACACAACTCCTTATGATTTTTCAAAGGAGATGGGATTTCTGCAGTGCATGAGAATTCACTGAAAATTAAGTTGAAAAAAATGAAGGATCTCTAGTGTTATTTTATTGCCCAGGCTGGCCTCAAGCCACAAACCTCCAGATCTTAGCCTCCTGAGTAGCTAGGATAGCAGGTGGCTTCCACTTCTTGCTTCCTTGCCCTCCCCTCAGTTAGTGACCTCATCACTATGACATCATTTGGAGAAGGTTTCTCCTGGCATGGCTCATGTGGCCTGGTCTGTGTGTGCGGGGGTCTCTTCAGTGTCCATTTTGTAACATTGCTAATGTGTTTTATGAGATGATTCTATACTCAGAGGCCTCTAATTGGAATTGTGTATTCTATAAAATTTTATGGCGCTGTCAGCCCCGAGGAGCTTGTAAGGATTTGTGCTTTTATTAGTATGCTAATGTAGTCTTTTCTGGGCCTCAGATTTTTAAAGATGAACTCTCCTAGCTGTCAGAATGCCTGCTTTTTACTGAGAAAACAGGTGGCTCCACAGCCAAGATAAGACCCAGACTATATTTCATAGCCCCCATTTCTAAAATAGTTAACTCGTTTTTATCTCGTTGGACAATATGATAAAAGCTACGAGAAGTCGAATTCATGATATAGCAAGACCAATTTGTATTATAGAAAAATAACCTTAGACAACCTCTTCAGGGAATTTTATGTGGTGAGCTTCAAGTGTGAGTTCCTTAATGTGGTATGTCGTATTAAAGCATAACACGTGATACAGACATGACTTTATAGCCCGAAGGCTGACATTTCTCCAGTCTTACAGAATGAGCTCACACAGGTGTACATCCATCCATCTATCTATCTGTCTGTCTGTCTGTCTGTCTGTCTGTCTGTCTGTCTGTCTGTATTTAAACTTCTATTCAGTGGAATTGGAGTCATTTTGACTTTTTCTGATTTGTGAATTGGAATTTTTTTTAAGTTTTGTTTAAAATAATAACAATGTCCAGTTATCTTCTTTTCCCCAATATTTGTAACACTATTTTGGTACTATGCCAAAAAGTCAATGTGATTTTGATTTTTTCTCTTTTGGTTGTTGGTGGTGGTGGTATTTGTTTTTGCTTTTTTTTTTTTTTCCTTTGTTGGCCATGGGGCATGATCTCTGGGCCTGGGCACTGTCCCTCAGCAATTCAGCTCAAGGCAAGCGCTCTACCTCTTGAGCCACAGCACCACTTGTGGTTTTCTGAGTGGTTTATTAGAAATAAGAGTCTCAGAGACTTTCCTGCCAGGGCTGGCTTTGAACCGTGATCCCCAGATCTCAGCCTCCTGAGTAGCTAAGATTACAGGCATGAGCCACTGGCATCCGGTTGGTTTGTTTTTTATTCTGGGGGAGTGAAGAGGGGGGGCAGAAAGGGAGGGAAGAAGGGTAAACAAACACAGTATAAACTATATAGAAAATGGCCTGTGTAACTTGTAGGCAGGAATGGGAAGAGGAAATGGGAAGGAAGTAAAGGAAGGAATGACATTGTCCAAAAAAAAAAAAAAAAAGAAGTATGCTCCTTGATGGACTGAGGAAATGGTAGCCCTCTGTACCACACCTTAATAACAATAAAAAATATTTTTAAAAGCCCACATTGAACAGGGAGCTGTCTGTGTGTCTCTCAGTTTCAAATAAGTGAAACCTGTTAAACTCAAAACTTGGACATCTTTTTGTTTCAACAGAACTGTCCATTATGAAGGTGGAGCTGTATCTGTTCACGCACGCTCCCTTTGGAGACTAGAGACGCTAAGAGTTGCGTAAGTAGAACTTACATGGGAGCCGGGGACTCCCACGGAGCAGAGCACCCTGTGTCCTGGGCCTCGGTGTCCCCATTACTCAGTCCTGTTAACAGGTCCAGCGCAGGAGCACAGAAACACAGAGTGATGGAGATTTTCTCTCTCCTCTCTCCCCTCCCTCATTGGTTACTTCACTTATCTTGATTTGCATATCCGCTTTAGAACCAGGTGGTAGACCTGAGAATTTAATTTCCTTTGTAATGAAATGCTTTGTAACAGCATCTTGTCTGGACTCTGTGTCTCCACGGACAGCATGCTAGGAAGACAGAGGCATGGTTTGGAGGCAGGGCTAGTTGTCTGCCAGCCTGTTGCTCATGTCTAGTTGAAAATGCTCTGAATTTAACCTCCTTAAAGGCACATGTGAAACAGAGGAGATGTGAACTCCAGAAATCAAAAAATGCTCTCTACTTACAAATAGCTTGATAACGGAGCAAGAAGTATGAATTGTAATACCAGCCACTATATGTTCATTATAGCAACAAGAATTTATATACACATACATTTATGCATACTATTTCTGGGAAGTTCAAAGGGCATGTAAAGAATGGCCTTTTAGTTCTTCTCAATAATTGCTTTTAAATAAATAAAATGATTATTTTGGTATGCGTGCCAGTCCTAGTGCTTGAACCTAGGGCCTGGGGCTCTGTCCCTGAGCTTCTTTTGCTTAAGGCTAGTACTTTACCATTTGAGCCACAGCTCTACTTCTAGCTTTTTGCTGATTAATTGGAGATAAGAATCTCACAGACATTTTTGGCCAGGCTGGCTTTGAACTGCCATCCGCAGATCTTAGACTCCTAAGTAGCTAGGATTTCAGGTGGGAGCTACCATTGCTCAGCAATAAAATGATTTTTGAAAGGCATCATTATAAATGGAATGAAAATATCAGCCAGATTTTTTAAATAACTGGGCAGTTTGATCCTTGTGTAAACATGAGTTTTCAATGTGGTATTATACTGTGAGGAAGTTACTTTGATAGGGTTACGGACTCCTTGGTTAAGGTGAGGAACCGTCTTAGCTAGTGTGTGTGTGTGTGTGTGTGTGTGTGTGTGTGATTATCACCTATCTAATGGTGAGTAGAATGATTTTGTGATCTTCATTTCCTTTGGGTGAGAGCATTCCATACAGTAATTCTGGAAAAAACTTTTACATCCTTGAATGTGGGAAGGTTGACATAGAAAAATGTCAGCACCAATTTAATTAGATCTGTGGAGGTTAACTTCTCCTACAGTAAAGGGCTGACTATTTAAAATAAAACGTTTGCACCATTCTTTTCAGGGTATCTAGCTGATAATAAAAACATGCCCCTGTCCATTGACTTACAAATACTTGAACTCTCAGAATGTAAAGCATACCTTCTTCTTATTTCTTTTAGCTCTCTCCTAACAGAATTTTACTCCAAGGTGTGGGATTTTGATGGACATGCTCTTCTTTTTTTTCTTGCTTATATACTATCCTTAGCAACACAATGTTTTATCTAAATTTTTACATTTCCTTCCTTCCTTCCTTCCTTCCTTCCTTCCTTCCTTCCTTCCTTCCTTCCTTCTTCCCTCCCTCCCTCTCTCCCTCCCTCTTTCCTTCCTTCCTTCCTTCCTTCTTCCTTCCTTCCTCCCTTCCTCCATCCCTCCCTCCCTCCCTTGCTTCCTTCCTTCCTTTTTTATGTTTGTCGTGAGGCTTGAATTCTGGGTCTGGGAGCTGTCCCTAGGCTCTTCAGCTCAAGGCTAGTACTCTACCACTTGAGTCACAGTGCCACTTCCAGTTTTCTGGTGGTTTATTGGAGACAAGAGTCTCATGGACTTTTCTGCCTGGGCTGGCTTTGAACTGTGATCCTCAGATCTCAGCCTCCTGAGTAGCTGACAGGCGTGGCCACCAGTGCCTGGCTCTATTTTCTTTCAGTCTGTCTTTCTTTCTTTTTTTTAAGTTCCAGGTTAGCCAGGTGTTAGTAGCTCACACCCTTCATCCTAACTCTCTCCAATTACCAAAAAAAACCAGAAGTGGAGCAGTGGTTCAAATGATAGAGCACTAACCTTGAGCAAAAATGTTCTAGGACAGCATCCAGGCCCTGAGTTCAAGCCCCAAGACTGGCACAAAACAAACAATAATAACAGTGAACAAGTTCTAGATTAGTAACACTGGTTGAAATGAAGTTAGGTTTACTTCATGTGGATGTGCAGCTGGTGAAATGTGCCTACCTATGAAACCCTTAGACAAACATTGAGCTTAAAGGTTCCATGTTGTTGGACATGCATCTCTTAGTCAGTGCAAAAAAGTGAAGCTACAACTGTCCTCCGCCAGGTGGAGCGGGAGCCACATCCGATGGGGCCAGCCCTTCCGGCTTCGCCACGTCACCACCGGCAGGTACTTAAGTCTCCTGGAGGACAAAAACCTGCTGCTCATGGACAAAGAAAAAGCTGATGTGAAATCAACAGCATTTACCTTCCGGTCTTCCAAGGTAAGGTAGAATCTATTCTTTTGGAGTTCCCATTGTATTTCTTGAGGTCTCTGAATCCTACTCTTCCATCCATTCTAAGCTAGGAAAATCAATTCCATAAACCACCAGGACCTGCCCAGATATTTCACTGGGCTTATTAGTTCTTCAGTCTTACAACCCATCCATCCTCCCCCCACCCACCCATCCATCCATCCACCCATCCTTTCGTCTATCTATCCATCTATCCATCCATCTACCCATCCACCCATCCTTTTGTCCATCCATCCATCCATCCATCCATCCATCCATCCATCCATCCTTCCAGCCAGCCACCAGCACCCAATACCTTGCAATGATGTACCTTTTTTGTTAAGGGCTTAATCTAATCCACTGTTACAGGTGGATCTACCTGCTTAGCTCTAGCAAATTGTTTTATGATAACTGTATCTTTATTGCTTTAGCTTTGTGAAAATGCTGAAATTTGGTCTAATGATTGGAATGATGTGGAATAGTGGCTAGCTTCTCTCTTAGAAAGGCAAAACCATAAAGAGTTTGACTTTGATTTGTATTTCTGAGACTCTTTGTATGTGGACATAGTTACCTTTTGAATATTACCTAGGGCTTTCCCACGTTTAATTTTTATGTTGTTTATGTAGTTACTTGGTTGTTTTCTTTTGTGTCAGTACTGGGGCTTGAACTCATGACCTGGGCATCATCTGTGTTTCTTTTATGCATGAGTGATAGGAAATGAAGGGGAGAAAGAACATGATTGGCCTGGAAGTTTCCATCCAGCAAATGATCACTCTTCCATTCCTAATGGCACCTTGGCAGTTATTAACTAACACAGGGTCAGAGTAACTCTTAGGACACAGTTATCAGGAGACTTCATAATTAAAATTTCCTCATCACCAGAGTGATGTCAACCATTTCCACCAAAAGCGAACAAGGCATAACTTTACAATTAATGAGCGTGTGCCTTCTCAAAACATAATCTGTAGCTCCTAGATAATAAGACTACAAACTAATTCTTTTTGGATAAAAGAAAAAAATGTTTTATATAGGCTCATTGTTTTCTTTTTAAGAGATAATTCTATGGCTATATTTTCCCCTAGAATGCAATTCTCCTATTGACAGACTTAGTATAAGTAGATTAGTAGTTTACCTCATTTGATACCATGAAATTGAAATGGTTTATTATCTGTTTTATTGCAGACTCTTAGAATGAGGCTCCAAGTTATTTGCATAATAGTTAATTCAACTTAATTGATGATCGTATATTTTCCTAGAGGACCTTGACCTTTCTGTTTTGAGAATTTTAACTCATTTTGATTTTAAGAAGTGTTTCTAATCACTTTAGAATCATTAGTTACAAGTACAAACTGAAAAGAACATGAAAAATCTGAAATTTTGTAGGTTCCCCCCCCTTAATCATTTTCTTATATAGCACATACATTTCACTTCAATTTAAAAATATTTGTGTAAGCTGGGCACCAGTGGCTCACGCCTGTAATCCTAGCTACTCAGGAGGCTGAAATCTGAGGATCAAGGTTCAAAGCCAGCCCAGGCAGGAAAGTCTGTGAGACTCTTATCTCCAATAAACCACTAGAAAACCGGAAGTGGCGCTGTGGCTCAAGTGGTAAAGCACTTGCCTTGAGCTGAAGAGCACAGGGATAGCACCCAAGCCCAGAGTTCCAGCCCCACAACCAACCAAGAAAAAAAAATATTTGTGTAGCTGCAGTTAAGTTCAGACAGCAAATAACAAAGACACAGGAAAAACATAGGGTAGTTTGAAGAAGGAAAGCTAATCAAGGAAGAAGAGAATAAGGAAGCCACAGCAACGAGGTACACAAGGTTTCTATACTGTGGTTTCCGGGCTGTTATTTCCAAGGGGAATTTTACTCCCTTTCAGAAGGAAAACGTCCACCATTCGAGTTGGAAACTGCAGTAGCAGAAATTGAATTAAAAAGAAATAACCATTAGCAATATCATCGTCATGGTCAAAACTATCAGAGTTTATTTGTGTGCAGATTTAATTCCAGGCTCCATGCTAAACACTTTAGATGTCATTTAGGTCAGATTTTTCTCATTACAAGCATCATCTCATTTTTTTGATTGTTCATTGAGGTACTGTTGTTAATTTTATTTATCCATGAGAAAACTGGGGTTTTGCATTTCTAATTGACTGGTTAATGTCTTAGAGGCAATAAGTAACAAAGATTGTCCTGTAAAATGAATGTTTTTGAACACTCATCTATCTTTTTTTTTTTAACATTTTTTAATTGTGAAAATACCATACAGAGGAGTTACAATTACATGGGCAAGATAATAAGTACATTTCTTATCAAGCATTGTTGCCTCCTCCTTTGTTTCCCTTTCCTATCCCTTCCCATCTCCCCCACCCCATACCCTATCCAGGACAAAGTTGTAAAGTTCATTTTTTGACATAACGACTTGTACATCTCATTGTTACAATGGGTCCACCTGTATCCCTATTTAAATGATTTGTTTTTTCCCTTCCCCTCCACAAATTATACCAACATCAAATACTTTGAAAGCAGGGGTTATACCGTGGGGGAGGGACATACTTATATAATCTTATAAATATGTTAGAAACAATTGCATGAAAGAAAAAACATCTCATCTATTTTGTTCACCATTAATAATGAGAAAGTAAAATAATATTGATCTTAAATGACTTAATTTTAAGTCTCTTGATTTCATGTTTGCTGTTAAGTCAAATAAGACTTTTATGTGATGGCCAAAATATATTCTACACATGTGAATAATTTAAGAATATGTTATTTGTCTTGGTAAGTTTCCTGGTTTGGTTTTCAGTGGAGATTGAATTAGAACAGTAGAATATATGACCATTAAGATTTCAGTGGATTTCTGAGGGCTGAATCTTAATAAGGAACCTGTTTACAGCAGGGCCATCTCCTGTTGATATAAGCTAGTTTTTTTTGTTTTGTTTGTTTTTTAATTTGAACCTTTGCTGATCTCTTTTTCTACTTAGGAAAAATTAGATGTTGGAATAAGAAAAGAAGTCGATGGCATGGGCACGTCAGAAATAAAATACGGGGACTCTGTCTGCTTCATCCAGCACGTTGACACAGGCCTGTGGCTCACCTACCAGTCTGTGGATGTGAAATCCGCAAGAATGGGATCCGTCCAGCGCAAGGTGAGCCTGTAGAATCACTCACGGTGGAGGCCATTGGAGGGATTAGCTCCTACACACCCAACACCCAGAGACTTAGCAAACCCTGCCAGCTCAGCCTCGTGCTCAAGGTCATTTTCGCAATGTTCAAGGTCACTTCCCTCCATGGCTGTATTTTAGTATTGTATCCAACGCTGCTATAAGCCATGTTGCATGCCAGTGCCTCCAGCCCCATCTGCCCCGTTTGTCCCACTGGGAGGCAACAGTGGAAGAAGTGAGCTCTTCCGTTACCTTAAAGCTTCAACCCTTTTAAAATCCCTTGGAGGAAAAATTCCACTGTAATAGACCTTGTAGTTTTATAATTCAAACCATTGTCTTGATATTATTACACCACGGATGGAGCGGATGAATGGATTCATGGATGTAAATATTAATGGAAGAAGACCTTCCTTTTTGGGCCTCAGTTTAGTGGGCCTAATTCCTTCTTCTGTCCTCTGTCCTGGCTGCTGCTAGGTCCTTCACCGGCTCCATCTTATTCATAGGACAGTGATCACACTTGTTGGTCATCATGTGCAGCCCTTCCTGGCCTTCCTCCAATCTCCTATTCATACCGGTTGCTAGGCTAGATGTCCATGCTCAGTGTTCCCAGTGTGTCACTTTAAACAAGTGTGCAGTTCCTCAGAACACCATGGCTTTTACCTACCTGTGCTTTCAAAAGCAATTGGCCATTCATGGGCCTAGAACTCAGGGCCTGGGTGCTGTCCCTGAGTTCTTTTTGTTCAAGGCTAGTTCTCTACCACTTGGAGCCACAGTACAGTACCACTTGTGGTTTTCTGATGATGAGTTGGAAATAAGAGTCTCATGGCCTTTCCTGCCTAGGGCTGGCATCAAACTGCTAACCTCAGAGCTCAGCCTCCTGAATAACTAAGATGACAGGTGTGAGCCACTGGTGCCGGGCCATGCCTGTGCTTTGCATAGAATTGTTTTACTGTTTGGAGTGTCCTTTGAAACCTTTCTTTCCATCTCATTTCTACCCATCATTCAGGAGTTTAATGCAAAAGATCAATTTAGAAGTCATTCCAATATCAGTGAATCTACTGCCCTCTAGCTTATGACGTTGTATAGATGCTCCTGTGCTATTCTTTTCACTAGCTACAGGTCTTTCTGTCTCTTCTGGTCTGGTCTGTGAGTTTCCTGAGGGCGTGAATGGCGGTAGATGGGTCATATTTTTATGCATGACATGCCGCACAGTGCACAGAACTAAACAATGAGACCCTTTGGGAAAGGTGAGACCTGGGTAAGGAAGGCTTTCATGAGGCAGAAGGTTTTATTTTCAATAAACTTCTGTTTTGCCATATAGCTCATTTGGGCCACTGGGATGGGTTTAGAGTAACTGGTGCTGGTTGTAGGAAGGTGGAAACCGGTGCAGATGGAGTTGGGCTGGAGTGCAGCCTTCTGTTTCCATCTCAGGCATGTGAGTACAGGTCCAGTTCTCTTGTGAGGTCCTTCTCATTAGAACGAGATGGCCACCTGCCTTCAACTTCTTTGACCTGGGCTCACTAATCTATGAAGTGGTCGTATAGATTCTCTGTATACAAAGCGTTTTTCCTCTCCTGAAGTTGAACCTGGCTGTGATAAAACATGTGGAGAGTTCAAATACAAACCAAGTCCACAGACTCACAAGTACACGGTCCTGTGGATCCTGGGTTTCCACCATTCCCTTCCATATGTGAATGCAGTCATTGCCATTGTCACACTCGCTTCCTTGGCTGTGTCCCAGGGGACATGGCTACTTGTTCTCAGTGACTAGAAGTGTATACACATTGAAATGCAAACTCTTAGCTGTAGAGTTCGTTGGTAGTGGTGGTAGACGTGGTGTTAATGGTGGAGCTGGTGTTGGTGGAGGAGGTTGTGTTGGTGGTGGAGGTGGTGGTGGTGGAGGAGGTGGTGTTGTTGGAGGATGTGGTGATGATGAAGGTGGTGATGGTGGTGGACATAGTGATGGTGGTGGAGATGGTGATGGTGAGCCGGTAGTGTTGGTGATGGTGGTGGAGGTGGTGTTGGTGGAGGAAGTGATGATGGTGATGGATGTGGTGGTAGTGGAGGTGGTGGTGGAGGTGGTGGTGTTGATGGAGGAGGTATTGATATGGAGGTGTTGATGGTGGAGGTGGTGGTGATGGTAGAGGAGGGAGTGTTGGTAATGGTGGTAGAAGTGGTGTTGGGTGGAGGAGGCGGTGTTGGTGGAGGAAGTGATGGAGGTGGTGGCAGGGGAAGTGGTGGTGGTAGAGGAGGTGGTGTTGGTGGAGGAAGTGGTGATGGTTGAGGTGATGGTGGTGGTGGTAGAGGTGGTGGTGGAGGAGGTGATGGTGGAGGAGGTGGTGGTAGAGGTAGAGGTGGTGTTGGTGGTAGAGGTGGTTGTTGTTGGTGGTGATAGTGGTGGTGGTGGTGGTGGTGGAGGTAGTATTGGTGATGGTAGTGGTGTTGGTGGAGGAAGTGATGATGGTGGTGGAGGTGGTGGAGGAGGTGGTGGTGGTGGTGGTGGTATTGGAGGTGGAGGTGGTGGTGGTGGTAGTGGAGGTGGTGTTGGTGGAGGAGGTGGTATTGGTGGAGGAGGTGGTGATGGTGTTTTTGTTGTTGATGGTGTTGGAGGTGGTGATGGTGTTGTTGTTGGTGATGGTGTTGGTGTTGGTGATGGTGTTGGAGGTGGTGTTGGTATTGGAGGTGGTGTTGGTGGAGGAGGTGGTATTGGTGGAGAGGTGTTGCTGTTGGTAGTGATGGTGGAGGAGGTGGTGATGGTGGTATTGGTGTTGAAGGTGGTGTTGATGGTGGCAGTGATGGTGTTGGAGGTAGAGGTGGTATTGGTGGTAGAGGTGGTGATGTTGGTGGAGGTAGTGTTGGTGGAGATAGTTGGTGGTGGAGGTGGTGTTGGTGGTGGAGGTGGTATTGGTGGAGATAGTGTTGGTGGTGGAGGTGGTGGTGATGGTGGTGGAGGTGGTGATGATGGTGGAGGTAGTGATGGTGGTGGAGGTGGTGATGTTGGTGGAGATAGTTGGTGGTGGAGGTGGTGGTGTTGGTGGTGGAGGTGGTGATGGTGGTGGAGGTAGTATTGGTGGAGGTAGTATTGATAGAGGTAGTGTTGGTGGAGTTGGTTTGGTGCTAGAAGTGATATTAGTGAAGGTGATGGAGGTGGTTTTGGTGGTAGAGATGGTGGTGGTGGTGGAGGTGGTGATGGTAGAGGTAATGGTGATGGTGCCGGTTCTGGGTTTGATTCCAGTGGTTTCATGGTGTGATGCATGCATTTACCAACACAGGGAATGTTTCCATTTCTCCAGAAAGTTGCTCTGCATTCCTTCCCACAGCATCTCATTCCCTCTCTACAATGGAGTTTTTTCTTTTACTTTTTGTAACCAAACATTCATGCTGCCCAATACCTGGATATCACCTAAATGAAACCACACAGTGCCACCACAAGAAGTTCTCCTTTTCTTCTATATCCTTCTTAGAAAATGTCACCCAGCTTCCCTATACATTTCAGGTGCCCTTTTTCCTCTCGTGGCAAGATTTTACTCCTTTCTGATAAAAGTTGTAAACTCCTGCATCTTAGGGACAATTGAAATGGCTTTTATATAAGTCTCCTATGACTCCTACTTTTCTTTAGCTTTTTCAAAATGATCCAATGATTTCTAGATTTTATTAATGAAGGGAGAAAGAAAACCATGTTTTTAATCTCTTTTAACCTGCCACCAGAATAAATGTTATCAGACATAAAGTGATCAAAAGAATCTTACATGCATGGATAAGGGCTGACTTGAATAGAGTGTGTTATTTTTGCAAAGTCCTATTAGACTTCATTTATTAATATTTTATGCAGCTATGTTTCTGCATAAAGGAAATCAACTTTATGAGGAGTTAAGTTTGAATTTCATATAATTTTTATATGTCACAAAAAACATGCTCTTTTGGCCTTTATTCAGGCATTTAAAGATATTAAAACTGTTCCTTGCCTGGCATTGGTGGCTCAGTATCTAGGATTATAGAATCCTAGATACTCAGGAGGCTGAGATCTGAGGATCATGGTTCAAAGCTAGCCTGGGCTGGAAAATCAGTGAGACTCCTATCTCCAATAAACCACCAGAAAACCAGAAGTGGCACTGTGGCTCAAGTGGTAGAGTGCCAGCCTTGAGCTGAAGAGCTGAGGGATAGCGCCCAGGCCCAGAGTTGAAGGCCCATGACTAACAAAACAACAACAACAAAAAACAACTGTTCCTTGCTAATAGGCTTCAAGAAAGCAGACGATAACCCATCACTTGCTAAACCCTGGTCTAACCTAGGCTACCATCAAGAATAGCTATTCCTGGAGGCTTATCAGAGTTCACCTGTAGAATCATCTTGTCCTGTGGTTTTTTTAGATATTGAATCTTAAAAAATGATCTGAAGACACTTTTCTAGTTAATATTAGTAATCGTAATTAGTATTAGTAATAGTTTCTTGTTTGAAAGGTTGTCTTTCTCTCTATTACTGTTCAGATTGTTCTCAGGTTCCTAGGCCCCTGTGACCTCAGCCTTAGCCTTCTGAGAAGCCAGGACTATAGGCATGTGCTGTGGCATCCAGCTACACTGATTATTCTTGTCTGTCTGTGAATCCATCCTCTTCTTCTGGATTGCCCAGGCTTGTTTGCTATATGTGTTTTGTTTTGTTTTTTTTTTGCTACAGAGTTGTACACAGCATTCTGTCAGTAATTAATCCCTTTCCACTGTGCTTCCTGCTTCCTATTTTATTTTTAGCCTGGTTTGTGAAGAGGCTTATCTAGTTGTCTTTTTGTAGAATCAAACTTGGGGTTCATCCATCCTTCCTAGGATTTTGTTGCTAGCTCATGAGTTTGTCTTTTTTATCTTTTTAATTCTGCTTCCCACTTTATTTGGCGTCCCATTTTCAATGAGTAATGTGTTCCTTCTTTGCGGTCGCTTCTTCATTGACAAAGGCAGGCAGGATATAATCTTTGAGCACACGTGTGTATCCATGGCTTGCTGATTATAGGTTTAGGGTTCCTTCTTGCTTGCTTTCTAGATAGCACATGATTTCAGTCTTTGCACTTGATTAGGTGTGCTATGTTATCTTGCTCCCAATGTCGCATGAAGGAAGCCAGGTACCAAGCGCTTACTGTGCGCTTCTTGCATGTGGCACATAGCTGGTCCCTATGTTGAAAGCCTGGGTCGTGGACACTGGGAAGGCAAGTCAGGACTAGACTTTAACAGCTCTAAACAGATCATCTCTTTCATGGTCTGGATGCTGAGTTTGCACATGTTCAGCCCTTCCCTACTCTAATGCTACAAATGCATAGAAAGTTCAGAAATGGAAAGTCTAGCAGAAAAACTGATAGTAAGTATATATACTTAATATTTAGATGTGCTGGGCACTGATGGCTATAATCCTAGCTACTCAGAAGGCTGAGATCTGAGGATCACAGATCCAAGCCAGTCCAGGCAGGAAAGTCTATGAGACTCTTATCTCCAATTAACCACTAGAAAACTGGAAGTGGAGCCATGATTCAAAGTGACAGAACTCTAGCATTGAGCAAAAAGAGCTCAGGGACAGTGGTCAGGCCCTGAGTTCAAGTCCTATATCCGACCAAAAAACAATATTTTAGATTTCTTAGAAATGGTATGTACAACTTAGTGATCCCTTGGGCTACTCTATTCCTGTGTACTGGAAGGTTACAGTGTAACATTATGAACTTTGTGCCATTTCTTTGTGCTGTTTGTTGCTATCATAAACTGTGGGTGAGGGTGGTATCAAAGGGTTCTGCTGTTGGTTTTACCCAACTTAATGCCTTTGTCTTTCCATCCTTTGGAACAATCACCTGTCATTGAATCTGAGCACAATAGCTTTCTGATGCCTCCCTAACTTTTGACTGTATTGAGCATGAAATCTCAACTCTTTGAGAACGTCTGGTGATAAGTGTGGTTTGGGAAGGAGTTAGACAGTGGCTGATTCCCCTTTCTTCCAGGCTATTATGCACCATGAAGGGCACATGGATGATGGCTTAAATTTATCCAGATCTCAGCACGAGGAATCTCGCACGGCTCGGGTCATCCGCAGCACCGTCTTCCTCTTCAATAGGTTTATAAGGTAATTTTTGTTGCCATGGTTGTTCGATTTTTAAACATTCTTCCTAGATTTACAAGTAAATGGTTCCTAACATATACAATGATCCTACATATACAATGGTGGGTCAGCAGACTACAATCAAAAGTGCTACTTAGAGAATGTTTTAAAATTTAAATAACTGAGCTCATACTCAGGGCCTCTCATGTTTAATTGGTTTGCTTACTCATAGCTGGTGCTCTACCACTTGAGCCATGCTTCCAGTTCAGCATTTTGCTGATTGGGTAGAGATGGAGTCTGACAGACATTTCTGCCTAGGCTTGCTTCAAATCAGGATCCTCTAGGTCTCAGTCTCCTGAGTTCCCAGGATTACAGGCATGAGTGACCAGTACCCAGTTTTATGCCTTTTTTCTTTTTCTTTCAAAAGAATGAACTTTTATATTAGAAATGTCTTATAAACTGTGTATGTCATTTGTAGTTGATCTGTTTGTGCTAGACCTTCTGTAATGAGGGTATTGGAGATACGTGATGAGATTCAAAATATGTTAAAAAATAAGTGACTCTGATAGTAAGTAATTATCATCATAATTGAAATAATTGCATAATCCTCAAGCTCAGTTAAACTTGTGGCCAAAGTATTTTCTGGGAACATTATGCTAATTAACTTTCTGATCCGTGATGGATACCGTCTGTCTCTTCACATTTGCGGATTTGATAGGTGTACGTTTTTCTGTACATCTACAGCATTAGAGCTTGGCATGGTGGTTGGTGCACACCTTTAGAACAGCTTCAGCAGTTCTTGGGGGCTCCTTGGAGATACCTCAGGCCCCGGGAGGGCCCCACAGAGGAGCTGAGGCCTGGCCTGCCCTCCTGGACAGAACACCCCTCCCCTTTCCACCTGCCTGTATCTGGTGCACTTGTATGTGGTTTTATTTCCAAACCCAAGCTAAACCAAGGAAGCTGAGATGTGGGCCGCTGATGGAAGTGTGGGCTGTCCATTCCAGGGGCCTCGATGCTCTGAGCAAGAAAGCCAAGGCACCCAGCGTGGACTTGCCCATCGAGTCAGTAAGCCTGAGTCTGCAGGACCTCATCGGCTACTTCCACCCCCCGGATGAGCACCTGGAGCACGAGGACAAGCAGAACCGACTGCGAGCCCTAAAGAACCGGCAGAACCTCTTCCAGGAGGAGGTGCGGCTGCCCGCCCTGGGCATTTCCCCTCCACATTCTTCCCATCCATTCCACAGCTCTAAGTACTCATGTACATGTAACTATGTGTATGTGTACAACACATACAGCTGATGGGGTATTATGCAGCCTTAAAGAGGAATACACCACAAGTGAATGAAATACCTTGCAGGAAAATGGGTGGAACTAGAAAGCAAGTTAAGGGAAATAACTTAGACTGGAAAAGACCCACATCACAATTCTCTCTCATATGTAGATCTTTTTAAGGTGTGGTCTGGGGTGGGTGGGAGAGGAGAATGACTGGAGAGAAAACCAAATGACTTTTTTTTTGACAGTTGTGGGGCTTGAACTCTGGGTCTGGGCATTTTCCCTGTGCTCTTCAGCTCAAGGCAAGAGCCCTATCACTTGAGCCACAGCACCACTTCTGGTTTTCTAGTGGTTTATTAGAGATAAGAGTCTCATGGACTTTCCTGCCCGGGCTGGCTTTGAACCATGATCCTCAGATCTCAGCCTCCTGAGTAGCTAGGATGACAGGCGTGAGCCACCGGCACCCGGCTGAATGACTTTTCTTTTGGCATGGCTTTGTGTGGGGGGGTGGGGAGGGGGCAGCAAGAGGAAGGAAGGTGAGAGGAGAAAGGGGTAGCAGATCTAATGAAGCACATCATTATTTTATGGATGCATGTGATTGATGCATGCAGGATTAGTGTAGGGACTGCTTGGAAAGGGAGAAGGAGAGGTGCGTGTGAGCCAAGAGTGCACACATCACTCACGTATGGCAGTGCCCATGGCCATGAGCGCTCGTTTCACCGTGACTGTAGGCTAGTAAGAGAAAACCCACGTCCCTGAATCGTGGCTCAGAGGAGCAGGTCCTTCTTCCCCTCATCTCTGTGGGGATCTGTCCAGGCCTCAGTGCCCCCTCTGTCCGCTGGCGGGCACTGCAGCTGGCTTCGGAAGGCTCACCTAAATCCAGAGCCCTGAGTAGCTGCGGACGTTAGAAAAGCTTCAGCTGTGCTGGGAGCTCCCTGGAGACGCCTGTGGCCCCAGAGGCTCTGCACTGGGGAGGATGCTACCCCTGGAGGCCCCCATCCGGGGGGCTGAGGCCCGGGGTCTCCTGTCCTGGACACAGCACCCCCTCACCCTGTCCCCTCTAGGTCCAGTTTTATTCTGTCTCAAGTTCCACTGCTGCGAAGAACTCATGTGCTGTGCTTTACATACAGCATGAGTGATGTAGCTCACATCCCAGTGCTGGTGTGGACCCTGGACCATTCCAGGGGTCAGTGGGTGCTCACTGGGCAGCCCAGGGTCCACAGGGCAGCAAGCTCCATGCGCAGTTCCTGCAGCCAGCCAGCAAACGCTGGTGCCCCTCTGCCTTGTTCTTTTAGATCTATCTTCCTCTTTCTTCCTTTCCCTTCTTCCCTCTTTCCTTTCCTCCCTCCCTTTCTTCCTCCTCTTCCTTCTCTCCCTTCTTCTTCATCTCCTCCTCCCCCTCCTTTCTTTCTCCTCTCTGTTTCTCTCTTGGCAGTACTGGGTTTGCGTACAGGACCTTACACATGTGCTTTTCCATTTGAGCCATGTCCATCCTCTTTTGCATTATTTTATTTTTCAGGTAGAAAGTTGTACTTGTTCCCAGACCAGCCTCAGATGGTCATCCTCCTCATTGTTCATTCCCTCTCCTCCTCCTCCTCCTCCTCTTCCCTCTTCTCCTCTTCTTTCCTCCTCCTCCTCCTTTTCCTTTTCCCTTTCTTCCTCCTCCTCTCTCTCCCTTTCCCTCTCCTCCTCTTTTTTCTCCTTTCCTCCTTCTCCTTTTCCTTTTCCTCTTTCTTTTCTCATTCAGATGGGACCTAGAATCATTCCAAAGTTCCTCTTAAATTCTCTGTTATGCAACGAATATTCAAATAAACCAAGTCAGCTGTTGGTGCCTTTTCCTTCTGTTAGCTTTGTGTCCTTCTGCAAACCTTGATTGGCAGAAGTAATAAGACACACCATTTCAAATATAGGCTGCTTCCTGGAGAACTTTCTTATGAGTTTTTTACTTGCTTTATAAATGACTTTTTATTCCCTTTCTCTTACTTAATGTATTGTGTCTTTAATGTAGTGAATGTAATAATACTGGTCTAAGAAAAATGGCCTGCTTTTATACTCTCATATAACCACAGAACCCGCTCTGTGCCCCATTCAAGTAGGCCAGTGTTGTTCTTCTTTGAGCTTGGTTCTTAGGATTTGATGTCCACCTTGGATTATTTGAAGAACATTTCCTTTCACATGCAAATGCCTTTCTTCCTGCTCTTTAAATAAACCATCTTCAGTTTAGCCAATGACAAGCAGACATTCTGTGAGCTGGCCTGTCTTGTCTTTTTTTTGGGGGGGGGAGGGGGCAGGGGGAGCAGAACTGGTTTCCTAGGTGTTTTTCTCCCACACAGGGGGTGATCAGCCTGGTGCTGGAGTGCATCGACCGGCTGCACGTCTACAGCAGCGCTGCGCACTTTGCTGACGTGGCTGGGAGAGAAGCAGCCCAGTCCTGGAAGTCCATTCTCAACTCTCTCTACGAACTGCTGGGTAAGTGCCACCGCTCAGCTCTCACCCAAGGCAGGCTTTTCCTCATCAGGGTTTTGAATGCTTTTTGTGGGACCAAAGCCCAGGAGACTCAGCTCCCAGATTGGGCTCTAGGTGGGAAAGGCAGCTTTGGGTGAAGGAAGGAAGGAAGATGATCCAGGGTGTAGTTGTTTGCTGGAGCTATACGAAGCTACACTTGTGGTGGTATATGTCACATCCTGTTGGCTCTGTGCCAATACAGGTCTTCGTCTTCTTTTTTGGTCATTTTATATTTCCTGTGCCCGGTTAGGCCTCATGGTTTTGGCATGCTGTGGAGGTAGTTTGTCCCTTGTCAAGCTCTTACCCTATTGGCTCACTGGTAAGCTAGCTACTTTCCCCTTGGCACTTAGCCTTGGCCTGTATTACAGCACGGGTCCCCTTCCTGGTTATACGTGGGCCTACTTTTAAAGAGAACAACAGCGGCCTTCTAGTTTCTGTCTTTTAACTTTTGCTCTGGCATATAGTGGCTCCTCGGTAAGTATGTGTTAGCCATCGAGTTCTGGTGGAATAAGAATTTTAAAAAAGCATAAAAAGTGGATAAATATTTTATTGTGTTTTTAAGTAGTTGTGCCAAGAGGTTTCAGTTCAACAAAATCGGTTGATAAAGATTTGTAAGGTGTGGAAGGGTAGTCAAAATGCTTCCAAGGGAAGTTGGACTTCATTGAGCTACCAAGAGCCAGCACAGGCCCGCACGTGGCCTCCTGCGCCGGTCCGTGTTCCTGTGGTTTTCTGAGGTGAATCGTGTGATTCGTGATGAGGGGCTCTGGGACTCTGCGCTGGGGTCTAGTGTGCTGGCGTTTCTCTGAACATCACCGAGGATTTGCGACTCTTCGGGAATCTGGAATCATCGTCTTACCCCAACAATCATCAGGACAAAGATGCAATGGGGCTGAAGGCGTGAATAGTTCACAGATGCACAACATGCTGGTGTGTAACAGTAGTGTGACCATTCACCTCACACGACACAGCCCGAATTCCTCGATGAACTCCGTGTCTGGGTGCAGGCAGAACGCGGCTGTAGATAATCGGATACAACGAGCATGCTCTAGCTGCACAGGTGTGCGTTGTATCCTAGCAGGGTGCACGCTTCTGAGCAACTCCACAGAGTTACTTGGGGGGGGGGAAGTGTTTTGCGGAAGGTGCCAGGGCCCTGGCTGTGAGCACGAACCTCATCATAATTAGTTGTGCAGTTTGCCGTGATTAGAGCATACCTAGACAGGGATGAGAAGTTGGGATCTGTTCAGCTGGAATTACAGAAAGCCCCGAGTCACAGGGCCTTAGACATCAGAGTGGGTCTTAGGGTTCACTCAGCCAGCTTTCTACCAGAGTGGGACATTATGGCTCCCTCTGCCACCCCCCCTCCCCCTGCCGCTGCCGGTTCTCCAGAACCAGCTCCCATGTGTCCCTTGTTGACTTCCTGGATCCCTTGCTCTCCCCCAGGGCTCAGCTGTGTGTCTCACATCCTGCAGCCATCCCTGGCTTTGACTGGCAGGGCCCATGCTGAAATTGAGGATGGGGGCCTTAGACTCCGCTGGAGCTCATGTGGAGAGTGGGGGAGGCAGGGGGGGTGGCAGAGGAAGAACAGCTCTGCCCTACACCAGCTGTCTGTGTTCACCACGGACCCCGCAGGCTGGCTGAGTTGAATTCAAATTCAGGTACTTGTATGTGTTACCTAGTGCTCCCGGGGGGGGGGGGGAGGGTGCACTCGGTGAACATTGGCTTTAATTATTCAATAAACAATCACAGCGATTCCCATTGACTTTCTGCGGCATGGTGAACTTGGCTGTCAGTTTCCTTTATTAAAAACCAGCAGGTCTATTTCTCCTCCTCCATAGGTCTCTCTCCTTTTTAAAAAATTTTATTTTTGAGTTAGCATATGTTAACAATACACGGGGGTGTCATAGTGACAGAGTATACTCCATTCTGAGCAGGTTTTCCCTCTCCACTGTACCCGTTTAGCTCCGCCCCCAGCCCCCACGTTCACCAGGGTGTGGAGGGTTTGTATAAATGCTGTCATGCATGGATAAAAGCGTTGGTAATAATCATCACTGAGGAAGATGTCAGATTGTGTGTTCCGGACTGGAGGTCAAATCAATGAAATTTACAGAGCCAGATCAATTTCTGCTCTGTGCCATATATAAAACTTTAAATGTGCATATCCTTGCATTTTCTGAACTTCTACTTTAAGAAAGGTGTTCTTTAAAACCACTGGTGCCAAGATGGAAAGAATCTCCACTGTAAAATTGTTTACAAAGACCCTCAATCAATCTCCCTGTCAACAGGAGATTGGTTGTATCAGCTACAGGAGACTCAAATAGTATCAAACATGGAGTGGGCACTGAAAATTAAGATAATGCATTAATGCTTTATGTACTGGGGAAGTCATTAGAAACAAGCCAACCACACTGTAGCTCCTTAGTATTTCACTGTGGTATTAAATGTGTGTGGGGGGGGGGAGGAGAGAGGTAGATTCTGATCACATAAAATTAAAAATGTGCAGGGTTAGCTATGTTCTTGTATATATATTGGCCATTTCTGAAAGAGTGAACAAAAAATGCTATATGACTATTTCTTGGGAAAAGGATTTGAACCTTTTCATTTATTATGTGCCCTTTTAAGTGTTTATTCTTAATCTGTTGGGATTCATTCCTTTTATAACGTGCTTATAAAAATGTACTTAACATGGACTGATGCTTAGAGAAATGGTGATGAGAGGAAAAAGCCTCACATTAAACTTCAGTTAAGTGGAACAAAATAGAATTATTTGATAATTGTATGCACACATGAAGGTGCTCTCCTCTGAAGACAAGGCAGTTTAAATGGGACAGATGTTTCAGACAGATAGAATTAGGAGAAACTTTATCTTTTAAAACAAGATTCTTTGATTTCTCCTTGTTTTTGTATTGCTCTTATAATGATCATTGGTTTTTAAGCATAAAAAAAGAGAATGAAGCCCCTTTTTGCTGATGCATAAAAGAAGTCAGAACTATCTGTTTGCTGCAGGCAGTTTGCATTGAATTTGGTGTCATCACATAGCCACATACACCTGTGTTTATACTTCGGTTTGGAGGTCAGGTCCTAGATCTGCAGGTGTAACTGGAGTTCTAAAATGTATATTTACCTTAGCTTTCCTTGTGATGCCAACTGGCATTTCCTCCACTACCAAAAACTTGGTTCAAACATCAGCTCCAAAGCCTCCTCTCTTGTTCTTCCACACAGGTAGAGCTACTCTCTCCCGAGGTTGCATGTAAAATATGCCCTCTTTTCTTTTCTTTTTTCCTTGGGAATGCCTATTATTGAATGGAGAGAAATGCAGGGAGAACTGGTAATCTGTAACTATTTGGCACCTGACGTGGTATCACTTGATACGTGCGTTAAGTGGAGAATAACAGCAGTAGATTTATGAGCTGCCATCTCGAGGCCCTCCGTACGTTGTCAGCATGACTCCTAATTTCAGAAGCATTGCTGTCCCATTCTTCATACATCATGTCTGATGCTCCTGCTATTCATCTGTGGGACACTTGTAAACCAGAGTAATTTTCTAAAGATGTCTGAGAAGTGGCTCTTGGGCTAAACCTCTACGAATCACTCATTTTCTGCAGCTTCAGAATAGGAAACGAGCATGAGAGGCCACTATTTTTTAGGTCTGGCAGCCCTGACCGGTGTCAGATGACTTGAGTAGTATTCAGAGGTGTGTGGTATTTGGGAAGGGAGTGGATCCCGAGGATTCTCACATAACGAATGCCTTCTGCATTTGCTGGCATTGCTAGGAGGCGGGGGAAAGTACTAGGTAAGGTCTAGCTAGAAGAGCGGGGTTACTGTGAGTATCCCTGGGATGGTACCCACCCCCATACCATAGCTTCCTAGCTACCATGAGGTGAGCAGTTCTCCACCACGCCCTTCCACCATGATGGTTCTGCCTCACAGGCTTCAAATCAATGGAGCCAGCCAACCACGGATGCAAAGCTCAGAAAACATGAGCCAAAGTCAAGCTTTCCTCTTCTAAGTTATTTACTCAGGGATTTTGTCACAGTGACAAAATTTGCACATCCCGATGATTCCCAGAGTCTCAGGGAAGCAGATTTCCTCAACCCCCGAAGATGCCAGGAAGGTAATCAAGAGGCAAAGAAGGAGGGACGGGGACCTCCGAGGTCGGGAATCCCTGGAGCCACAGGCTTTCCTAGGAGTTGCCTGAGACTGAGTTCGTCAGTCTGCTTCCTGGCATTCCCAGATTGTAAACAGTGATGTCTCACTTGGGAGAACTCGCTCTCCCTTTAAATATCACATTATTCAAAAAAATCTCACCGACACTGAGCGCATTCACACTGCCTTTGAATGATTTTATGGTATTGGAGTGGAAGTTACATTAAGAAATTTCCAGACATGCTTCAAAAGAAATGAACCAGCTGAATTGTAGTTGTTGTCAGTCATGGGGCTTGAACTCAGGGCCTGGGCACTGTCCTTAAGCTTTTTCACTCAAAGGTAACACTCTACCACTTTGAGCCACAGCTCCACTTCTGGTTTTCTGCTGTTTAATTAGAGATAAGAGTCTCCTACATCTCCCTGCCTGGGCTGGCTTTGAACTGTGAGCCTCGGATCTCAGCCTCCTGAATAGCTAGGGTGACAGGGATGAGCCACTGATGTCTGGCCCAACTGAAGTTTTGAATTGAAAGGTGAAAGTTTTAAAATGGGGGTCTATAAAGTAGGTTGAAGAAGAATTTCCTATAAAGAAGATTTTTTTTTATTGGTCAAAAAATTGTAGAAAATGTGAGCTCAAAGTTATTAGAATGGATTTCTTTAAGTCATCTGAGTGTTTACTATGTATTGTGATTTTCCCACTAGAAAGATTTTATAGACACATACATATACATATATATGTGTGTATGTCTGTGTATATCTCCTTTTTAGCCATTAACACTTATATCCTTCCCTCTACATAACATTCAGCTATTTCTCCTGTTAGAGCTATAAGTACTAGTTCTAGCTTCATGAATTTTCGGTGCATTTTCAAGAAAACCAATGTGTTCTTAAGTTCTTCAGTATAGAGGTATGAAAAATGGACTCTAGAGAGAGGAAATAATTTAGTCTCATGGCCAATTGAAATCTGTGTGTCTTAGAACCTAAGCAAAGAACTTCCCTTGACACTGGCTTTTGCATCCCCTCCAACCCCCCTTTATTGTCACCTCCCATGGTGACATGTTACTGTCTGATGGTTTTTTTCTCACAAGCGGTGGGGGTTTTCAGCCCTCATTAGTACATAGCAGGTCACTTTCATGGTTTTGTGCACACATGTGCACTTCTTCTCTCCATTTGCATCGGATTTGGATTCACGAAAACATTTTGTTCTTGAGCCAGTATTTTAGTGCTCCTATTAGCTTACCTTGATTTTTGAACTAGAGAAAAAAAAATCACCAAAATGTGACATCTTCTTTTGCAGCTGCCCTCATTAGAGGAAATCGCAAGAACTGTGCTCAGTTTTCTGGTTCCCTGGACTGGCTCATCAGCAGACTGGAAAGACTAGAAGCTTCCTCAGGTAGGTGCTCTGGTTCTCCCCTTGGGTGAGTGAGATGTTATTCCTGTTTTCCTCTATCTCTTGCTCTTTAAGTTATGAAAACAAATTCTGATTTTCAGTGCAATAGTAGTGCTTTCCTTTTAATTATTTGGAGATTGTCTGCTTATTGACTCAATCATTACTCGTGCCATGAGTTATTTCTGAGCAGCAATCTAACAGTACCTTGTCCATTTACATGTTAATTAATTCAACTTAATTTAATTGTGAAATACTGAATTTTCCTTCTATTCTCAAATCACAGACTCCTGATGTACTCTGTAAACAAAAAGAGGAAATTGCAGTCCTCAGTTTTTTTCTTGGTGTTCAAAGGTTATTTGGATAATTGAGGTTGGTTTCACAAATAATACAGTACAATATGTTATTTCAAAAGGGATTTCTTAAATGATAACCAACCGTCGGTATAATAGGAAAATAGAAGCCAGTTGTGTGCCTTTCTGTCATGCTAGTTTTATTTTGGTGGGGGTGGACTTCTCAGTGATTGACAGGCTTTTCAGATGTAGGAGGCGGGAGTTCTCAGTGATAGGCTTTCCAGATGTGTATGGGGGGTGGGACTTCTCAGTGATTGACAGGCTTTTCAGATGTGGGGGGCAGGAGTTCTCAGTGATAGGCTTTCTAGATATGTGTCAGGGGCAGGACTTCTCAGTGATTGACAGGCTTTCCAGATGTTCCCAGCTGTTGGTCTTACTGAGCAGGGGGTTGGAAGTGGGGTGAAGAGGGAGAAGCCCACTCACCAGGCCCTCCATGGAGTTCCATGTGAAAACCTGTGAATAGCTAAGTGAGAGATGGAAGAGACCCAGAGGATTAGGGTCACATGGGGTCAAGTCTGCTGATCACTGATACCATGTTTTTTCAGCTTCCTTCCTTTCCCTAATTTTCATTTTGATTCTTCGTCTGCCACTATGAGCAAGCTATACACAGTGCGAGTGCTAGTGGCTCATGTCTGTAATCTTAGCTAATTAGGAGTCTGAGATCCCAGGGTTGTGGAGAGACTGGACTGAAGCCAGTCTGGGTAGTCTAACATCGATGGCCAGACAGCCGTGCAGGGGCCTTGCTGCAGGCGCCGAGGGCAGAGGTCCCGAGTCTGCCGTGAGGGGCAGGTGCATGTTAGGTTTTTTAAAAAAGAGGTAGTCGAGTAAGAACCACACCATGCACATGGTATTCAGGTAAGGGGTAGGTTTATTCCGGCTAGCACCAGGCCATGTTGGCCCTCCACGTGGCTGGGAAAAGGCCTGAGAAAGAGGGCATCTGGCCCTGGGCTAGGCCTTATCTAGGGTAGGGGCCGGGGTGGGGTGGAGTGGAGGGGGAAAGGTGTGGCCACATCCAGTCCAGATGTGACCTCCTTCAGGTGCGCCAGTTGCCTAGGTAACGCAGGTACTGGGCAGAGACTTTGCTGGAAGGAGGGTGGAGTCTGCTCGCCATCCAGGAGCAGACCTTACAGTGCGCTGTACGAATATTAATCATTTAATTCTCACAGCAGCCCTGAGGGGAGGATGCCAGTGTTGTACACAGTTTGCAGGTGGAAGAGAGACTCAGAACCAGGACAGAGCCAGCATTGGGGCCGGCATCTAAACCATCTAAATAAACCATCACACTATGCTGTCTCTTTACAGGTTCCTCGTGTGTGTGTGTGTGTGTGTGTGTGTGTGTGTGTGTGTGTGTGTGTGTGTGTCTCATACTGAGGTTTGAACTCAGCATCTCAAGCAGGCACTCCTTCCACTGACCCATGACGCCAGCCGTGGTTTATGCTAGTTATTTTGGAGACAGAGTCTTGCTTCCTGTCCCAGTGTGTGCATGAGTTCTGAGCTGCCTGTTGTAGGCTTCTCATTGTAGTTAGGGTGGCAGGCATGCGGTCCTGCACCCAGCTTTCTACTGAGAAGAGATCTGGAGAGACCTTGGACCCCTTTCTGTCCACGCTGGCCTTGAACTGTGATCTTCCCAATCGGAGCTTGCCATGGCTCTGGGGTTACAGCCGGGAGCCAGTAGTGCATGGCTTCTTTAAAGGTGCTCACTGAGGGTGTGACTATTAATGGGGTTAAAGTATGTGTAGTTAGGTGGTTTGGGATTCAGTTTTCTTGTTCTTTTTTAAGGGCACAGTAGAACTTCTGAGCCGAGTTGTCATGGCCTTCTGAGCTTTCATTTCCTTGACTATCTTCATGTGCTCTTAAAAAGCTCCATAAATTCACACCGTAAACACCACTGGTGAGAAACGATCAGCGGCCGCAGTGTTAGGAAATAGGAGAAACATGACGATGTTAAGCAATCATTTACAGGGAAAGTGACGGTGAGATCTGCAGGGACTCCCATGAGACAGACACCGAAGGGACTTTTAAAGCATTGCATCACAAATTAAGAACTGGGGAGGAGAGACATTTATGGGGTATCAAATATCCTGACATACCTACACAAGTTAGAATAGCTTGTCCACGTGAGTTAATATGTCCTTCATCTCAAATATTCGTTTGTTTTGTGATGAGAGTACTTGAAACTCACTCTCAGAGATCACGTAGCTATACGGCTTGCCCAAGGAGCACGGGAGCTGGGTGCTAGGCGCTGGGTGGTGCTGAGACTAGGGGTGCTGACTGAGTCCCTCCATTGCCACGGAGGTCAGGGAAAATCTCGTAGCAAAGAAGTGCAGGATCTGGTAGAAGGCGAAGTTGCATGGCTTGAACAGGAAGGAGGAGGAATTGCGCAGAGGCCCACCTGCGTCTGCTACCTATGATGGTATGATTCAGCATGCCCATGTGTGGGTACATGTGTGTGTATGTGCATGTGTTTCTGTGTCTTTGAGAGATGACCTGTGTCCCAAGTGTATAAAGCTGTATTCCAGTATCTGATCACTGTGTGAAAAGCAACTACTCTCTACTTCTTGTGGGTGGGTGCAGGGAGATGATTTCTTTATCATCTCAGGCTAAGAGCATAAATGTGCCTGTAAGCCAGAGTGAATTGCAAAGGCAAAACAAGGGATCTGGCGGAGAGCAGGGAGACTGGATGAGCTGCATTTTGTCTGCCCCCCCAGCATTTTGCCTGACTAGCCCTCTTCGTCTGGGAAGCCTGCTGTGCTTCTTCCCTCCGCTTCCTGGGCCTGGGTGAGATCCCCTCTCTTACTAGCCATCCTGGTGCAGAGACCCCCCTGGGGTGAGGCGGGAGGAATCTTTGGGGAGGTGCAGATGCTAACGTTTGCATGCAGTGTGACTCCTAGCACAGGAAATGATCACATCTTTTAAAACTCCCAGAGTTCTCACTACTATCTCTCAAACAGTTTTCAACTTGCTGTTCTTTTTTCAAAGAAAGCACAGTTAATAATCTGTCCTAGTAATAGTCTGGCCAGCAGTGGTCTGTTTCAGAATCTTGTGTTCTGAGCTGCCCTCCTCCTCCTCGGTCACCAGCTACGTGTGAGCTGATGGTTAGAAAGAGGAAGCTTCGTTGCGCTGTTCTCTGACATCTGCTAGGCCTGAGAGAGACATCATGTGTAACAGATTGCAGGGACTGAGTGTTCACATATCACTTATGGCAGGGAGAAGGAAGCCGTTCACCAGGGAGAGCCTTGGAGAAGCGCAGGTTAGTTCTAGAATCAAAGTTTTGGATTTTCCTAAAAAGGCTATCATGCTATTCCCAGGTCATCGTACACCTGCGCTGGAGGAGAAACTAAATGACAATGGAAACTGTGTGAAGGAAATCATTTGTGACAGCTGCTGAGTACAGTAGCTATCAGGCCCTGGGAGCCTCTACTGTAATCTTCTACAACATATTCCAAGGATGAATGGTTTTTGCATAATGATCCTGGGTTGTCAGGTCATGTAAATTAGTGAAAGCTAGTGGCTGATGCCTGTCACCCTAGCTACACAGGAGGCTGGGATCTGAAGATCAAGGTTCCAAGCCCGCCTGGGCAGGAGGTCTGTGAGACTCTTATCTCCAATTAACCACCAAGAATCCAGAAGTGGAGGTGTGGCTCATGTAGTCGAGCACCAGCCTTGAGTGAAAAAAAGCCAAGGGAGAGCATGAGGCCCTTAGTTCAAGCCCCAGTACCAGCACACACACACACACACACACACGCACGCGCGCACACACGTGCACACATGTGCACACATGTGCACACACGCACACACGCACACACACACATACACTCAGAAGTTATTTCTTGTGAGCTAATGGATTATCTACTGAAGGTTGGGAAACAGCAGTTTAAAAAGTCCTTTTGAAATATCTGAAATAAAGTATTACTACTTAGAAGCTACTGATTGAGGAGCCCATACACTGGTTTCTGTTCTCCACCAAGCATTATGTTATAACTGGGCAAAAAATAAAAGAGAACAAGTGATAGCCTGGATTTTGAGGGATCCCTATGTTTTGTTGTATTTTACCAGCAATAAGGAAACATGGGGGGAAAATCCCTGCAAGAAAACTCTAAATGAAATGGAACGTTTTTTCTTTAATAGAAAGAACAGGTACTGGAAGCGCCCGAGTTATCTGAGATCTTGATCCCTATGACAGCGCTTCTCTCCAAGCCCTGGGATTAGCAGGAGAGCAAATGACTTTTCTAGAAAATGGTTCTGGAGATGAAAGAAATTCCCACCCTTTTCAGGTTGAGAAGAAAAGTCTCGGCTTCATGGGGTTGAAGAGGGTTTTTATTCATTTCCTGTGATCGTTCCTTCAGTCTGTTTCTCCTCTTTGGCTGCGGGCGCTGGGTATAAAGGGAAGTAGACGCAGGCGGGCCTGGGCTGGCAGAGGTCACAGTCTGATGGCTGGGTGTGAATGCCTCGCGCTGGAACAGGCCAGGGCATCAGAGCCCCTTTGGCCGCGGTGATGGACTTCGTTACGGAATAAGATTTCACGTTCGTGAATAGTCATGCATTTTTTCCCCATCTGTTTTCTTTTTTAAATGTTTTTCAAAGTCTAAAACACTTGCAGCATGTGAGTGAATCATAAAAACCCCAAACCATGAGGTTCATCGCGATGCCGGA